TGTAATACAAAGGCAAAGGAAATCAGTATTAATCAACCTTTTACAAGCCGAGTTAAAATTACTTATTTTTTGTCAAGTTTACTTAATTCCACATTCCAAGTAAATTTAACTTAAAGATTTTTAATTAAAGCTACTGATAAATATGTTTAGGTTTTTACTTGGCAAATCTTTGTAAATTTACTAGCATTTTCTGAGTGAGATCGTTTAGCAAGGTTTTTTCGTTTAGCAAAGTAAATCCTACTCCAATTTTTTTACAGTGTACACTGTAAAAAATGATTTTTTGGTTAAGTAAATACTAGTGAAAAAACCCAATGTAATTTACTTGAAAAAGTTAGTTCAGGCAAGAATTTAAAAAACTAAGTAAATTCCATATCAGTACTTATTTTAAGCGAGTATAAATGAAAGTGTAATATCAACTCAATAAAATTAAGTAAAAATTACTCAACTTTTCTGATACTGGGGTTCCCATCATGCATAATAAGCAACATTTCATTAAAAAAAACAAGTTTGATTCCACAGTGACTTGAATTACATCAGTGGTAAGTCACAAATATAATTACAAGCATATAATAAACCATTGAGTGATTCATGACAGATATTCTTCAAAATAAATTATCACAAGCATTTATTTAACCATTATTACATATTATTTTGCTGTGAAACGTATCAGTATATAAGAACCCTAATCACACCGAACCGGTAGTTAATGATTAAACCTTTCGTTGTGAGCCGCTATAGGGACAGTAAAGTCAACACATAAGAGCACTTCGGACAGGTGTTGGACTGTGGGCTGGATTCAGTACACACACATTGATTTTTACCTCCACCGTTTGGAGTCATAGAAAGGTCAGAGATTGAAGTATTTGTCGAAGTTGTAGCACATCTACAGTTCACTCGTGTGTACTGTACATGTACATTTCCTTGCACTGCTCTGACAATTTAAACCATTGGGCCATGTTGAGCTGCCAAACACACACACACACACACACACTGCAGTTTCAGATTGCGCTTTCTGTATTTACCTCTGCATAATAGTCCCGCTTTGCAGAATTGCCGCTTCCTCCAAAATGCTCATTTTGGGTAATCACGCAGCAGTTTGGTGGCGGTTAATTACTACTGGTTGCTAAGCATTGCAAAGGTCAGTTATTGCAGAATGAGGGTAAAATGTCCCTGCAGATGCACCGCTTCCACCAATTTCACATTTCCCTCTCAGCAGGACTCTTTTTATGCAGCAGCGCCGCCGCCTATATTGCTGTTCTTCTTCGTCTGACAGTGTTTACAAAGGATTCAATTAAGGAAGATGAATGTAGCGGTTACGGAGCAGCCGTGCTTGTTTATGCGTTTGTTTGTTTGTGTTTTTGTTTGTTTTGTGTGTGTGCATGGCACAGTTGGTTTAACCCTTGTGCTGCATTAGATTTTTAACACCGTTGAGTGCATTAAGGACCAAAAATGGCCACATATTAAACATTGCCTAAAATATTATATATTATTATTATTTTCCACTTTTACCAAGTTAAATCTTTTAACCAGCATCAGTCCTCACCATAACTACCAAAAATGTATTCAATTTCAGGATTTTAACCCTTTAATTATCGATTTGTATAAGAGGAAAAAACACAAAAATTCAATTATTTTCAATAAACTAAATGCAAAGAGAAAACTTTAGATTTGGATTATCACAGTCCCACTTTGCAAAAAATCCCACTTAGCGCGTTAGAGACCAAAAATGGCCACCTATTAAACATTGCCTATTGCCTAAAATAAGGTGCATTTCCACCCATAGGGAATAAATATGTAGTGACGTCATCTGGTGGAATACACTATATAATGCAAATATAATGCTTTTGCTTCAAAATGAAAGGATGTTTGTGCAAAAATCATGTTTCATGTATTACTGACAGCCTCAGATTTAAACAACGTTTTAATGGGTTTCAATGGGCCATTTTTGGTCTTTATGGTGCTGAGTGTTACTATTTGATCTACACAGTGTGTGTTATACATATTTTGCAAAATGGGATCACATTTTTTACATGTATCCAAAAAGTCACAATTTTGCCAAATTTCATACCATTTGCATTAAAACAGCCAAAATGGTCAAGGAAATTAAACTGCAAAAGACCAAAAATGTCCCTAATGCAGCATAAGGGTTAAAGGAACTGGTGTGAGAGAAACAGAAACGTGTAGTTAGGTAATGTCTCACAGATAGATCCTCGAAACGTTGCACGCAAGTAACCTTAGGTTTGAGTTATTTCCAGAACCTCTTCTCTGTAATTTTACTTTGATACTTTACTAATTTACTTTTTTTTTTTTAATATCTTCATTGCATTTCATAAAAAAAACAACAACAACAACATATAATGTGTTGCTTGTTTTGAATTGAAGGAATGGACACCCGCTCTGAGGCGTGATGGCAACGTCCAGTTTGTTAGCAAGCAGATTCCTCACGCTGAATGATTCATTCTCAAATTGCAAATTATTTTCCCAAAATAAACCGTGATTGAGTCAGAGCGAGTAAGTTAGCAAGTCACTAAATTTGTCATTTCTTTCTGATGCAGATGTGCCATGAGATCCTTGAAACTTGAGTCTGTGGTGACTGATGGTGTGATTCATTTTATTAATGGGGCATTTGAAGTATTTATTATAAAACACACTGTATTGATTTGTGAACTAAACAAGTTGTTTAAGCCCATTGCATTGAAACGCTTGAATGTGGACAGATTTCATTATTTTCATTTGTTTGCAACCTTGAATAATCAGTAACTTAAATTGCTATTTAGTTTAATGTTTTAATAATAAGCTTTTAGACATGTATATGACATAAAACATTTGCTAATTTGCAGATCAACACGTTGGGGTGAATTTCAGCAACATGACATCATGACTTTTGCGTAAACATACACGCCACTTTCGAGTCAGGTGGCGTGTTATCTCTACGCATTTTGAACTATCTGCGTGTGTCCGCGTGTATGCGTGTATGTCTACGCCATTAACGTCCGCGTCATTCCGCGTGTCTGTACACGCAGTCAAATCTCCAGTCATAAATGCCATTAACCCCAGTGACGGTTAAGTTTAGGGATGGGGTTGAGGTAAGTCGTATCTTTTTTTTACCTAGGATGGTAAGGGAACAGTCATAAATGCCATTAACCCCAGTGACGGTTAGGTTTAGGGACGGGGTTGAGGTAAGTCATATATTTATATAACGTTAAGTCAACGGCGTTCATAAACACGCTGAAAGGCGATTATGCGTCTTGATAGCACGCCAAAAATGGAAATACGAATTGGCGTGTCATACACACTAGGCTTGCCGCGATAGACGGTGTTGACGGTGTTACCGGTTTTAAGCCCCATCACCGGTGACATCACTTTCCCACCGTGACACCGCGATGTCTTGACTTTTTTTTTTTTAAAGTATTCGTTTTTGCTAAAATATTTATTTGAATTAATTAAAAATAATAATTTTCAATTATTTAGTTCTGAAGAGAGCATTATAATTAAAAATGAACTGCGCAACGCGTGCCGTCACGTCACAGATCAGCAAGCATCAGGATTCCATTTAGCACGTGTGGAGACGAGAACGAGTCAAATTACAGAAAAGCAAGATAATGGCGGAAGATTTGGTGTCAAAACGCAATGCAAAAGCGCCTGTTTGGCAATATTTTGGCCAATATATATTAATGTTAATAAATGCCAATTTATAGTGTTTTACTTTTTTTTAGAGTGCTGTCATTTATGTAGGCTAAGGTCCTTTTTAAAGTTTTTATTTTATATTCGTCTCTTTTTATTTGGTTTTATCTTATTTAAACTTTGTTTAATTTATTCAGGCCTATTTTGTTTTCTTATTCGTTAATAAACGTTTTATTTTTTTTGGGCCCACAGTTTGCCGATTTTCACTTTTTTCAGCCTATGCATGGGGTTATTTTTATTCGTTCGTTATGCTAATAAAAGTTCTGTCTATATTTTATTCGTTTATTATTCTAATAAAAGTGCTGTCTAAATAAAAGTTTATTGTCAGCGAGTTGTTTTTTTTTTTTTTTGTCCATTCCAGCAATTGACGCTGAATTGCAATTGACGCTTATTTCGAAAGTGAAAGTATGTCATTTATGTAGGCTAAGGTCCGTTTTGAAGTTTTTATTTTATATTCGTCTCTTTTTAATTGGTTTTATCTCATTAAAACTTTGTGTAATTTATTTAGGCCTTTTTTATTTTCTTATTCGTTAATAAACGTTTTATGGTTCTTATTTGTTTGGGCCCACATTTTGCCGATTTTCACTTTTTTCAGCCTATGCATGGGGTTATTTTTATTCGTTCGTTATGCTAATAAAAGTCTATAAATAAAAGTTTTATTATCAGCGAGTTGTTTTTTTTTTTTGTCCATTCAAGCAATTGACGCTTATTTCGAAAGTGAAAGTATAACGCGCACGCATTTAAAAGCTATTTAACCCCCCGCCCTGCCCTCCACGGTGACACCGGGATTACCGGTGTTGTCACACGTCGATTAACCGGTGGGAAATTTTCCTCACCGCGGCAACCCTAATACACACGCTACTTCATGAGATCAGTCTGATTTCAGAGTGATTGGGACACCTTGCTGGAAAAACTGTCCAAATCATCCTGAATTCACCCATATGATTAATGGGTGCCAACAGTCATTCGAGTATTAGTAGACTGTTTGTTTAATCTCTGCTAACACTTTATTTTGATGCTCCCTAACAGACCTTGAATACTGTCATGTCAACTTATTTTACTAACACTAACCCTAACGTAAAAGTTGACTAATACTGAGATGATGAGATATTATTAATAAGAGAGATAGTTGGCATGTAGTGTCAAAGTCTAAAGTGGACTATGGAGATAGTGTCACCACATTTTGTTAGGTTCTCTGTTCCTACTCAAGAACCGCTTCTTTACTGAAGTCCTCTAAATTAAAGTGGCACACGTAATATCCTAAAACGTTCTCTTGTCTTTTTTGCCCTTGCTCTCTCTCGCTCTGGTTTGCTCAGGATGTGTTGAACACGATGATTAGGTGGTGTTCTCCACGATTCTTCTTCCTTGGCCTGCCGGGCTTCACCATGCTGGTGGGAGACTTCATCACCGCAGCTGCTCGCGTCCTGAACACAGACTCTTTTGAGGTACCTTTAAATGAACACATCCACACTTACACTACCTTTAGAAGCACACCGCTTCATGCTGGCATCTTCTCATTCTTGTTCTCGTCAGGCTCCACGGATCGAGGCTCAGACGGTTCTTGGTTCGCTGGTGTGCTTCCCTAATCTGTATCAACAGATCCCATCTTTGCAGTCAGTTCCTGGATCTGAGGATATTGTAGTTGGCAAAGAGGACATGAAGGTATGCTGTTATACAGGTGAACCAAATCCTGATAAATCTGAATCACTGCTAATGTTTAATCTTTAAAATTAAAGTTTTGTTACTGACTAGTCAAACTCTCATAAGAAAACACTATATATGAATATGCATTCAAAATAGCATTTAATCTGGGAATAAAACACTCAGTTTGGTAGAATATGTGTTTTGTCAAGTATGTTTTATTCATAATGTTACCCTTTGAACCAGTCGAAATGTTATACTGGTATTGTCTCTAATAAACAGGAGTAGAACAAGCCTATAAGCAAGCTGAGTTGTTATACGCAACAAAACTTTTCCATTTTCAAGTCAAATTACTCCCTCACATGGCCTAAAACCTACATTTTGCCAAACCTGCCAATAGCCGGTGACTTAAGAAAATATTCTGGCCATAAACATATTTTACTGGCAGTAATGGCACAAACATTTTAGTTAACAGTGAAAATGCACAGTTCTCTATTCCAATGTTGATACCACAGCAAAAACTACTAGCCTAACTTACATCAATTTAAAACATTATTAAAGGGATTTTTTTTTTTTTTTTTTTTTTTTTTGGAAATAGGCTCATTTTACAACTCCCCCAGAGTTAAACAGTTGAGTTTTACCATTTTCTAATCCATTCAGCTGTTTTCTGGTATTTAGTAGAAGAATATCAGTAACCAGACAGCATTGACAGTTCTCACAACATTGCATTGTTAGGAATAGGATTCATGAAAAAGTTACCGGCCAACTGACGACTGACACCGTTTCATATACTCACCAACACCGGTTTTACATTTGGCACTTGGCAAATGTAAATTTTAGGCCCTGCTCCCTCACATTGCTTGTCCTCCGAGTGGACAGTTCTCTTTAGCCCGCCGTGACTGAACGCATGCAAGGTCTGAGGTAAACTGAAATGATTTAGTGTTCTGCTGCAGACTTTTAATGATGTAGTAGACATCTAATGGTGCTTTTGTAGTTGATATCAGCTGGTTACACATTTTGGTTTCAAATTGTCAAAAATCCTCAGATAAAGAAGGCCCCAGTGTTATATAAAGGATTAATTCCCCCATAAATTACAATTCTGAAAATGTAAAGCCTTATGATTTAATTTCCTTGTGGCAATGCCATTTTCAGTTAGTAATGATTTAAATGTCTTCTCACATGGAGCGGTATATTTTCCCCTGCCACTGTTGCCTTTAGATTGACTTTCAATTGACTTCTCAATGAAACTACTTAGGGGTGGGCGATATAACCAAAATCTTAAACCAATTACATAATTTAGTCATGGCAGTGATACACATCACCTAATGGTAATTCTGTTCCAGTTGTATAACTGTGCACGACCTTTTCAATCGTGCATGTTACTCTTTTTGGAATTAACCAAACACATTAAAATTATTACTAAAAAATAATAGTAATCCTCGAGTCCTTATTTAAGTGATTAACTCTAAATAGAAATCAGCTGTGTACGTAGGATTTTCTTAATGTCTTCCCGGGCGAATCTTAGGCAGACAAACAGCTTTCGAAAAGATCTCGTGAAAAGGTGCCAATCAGGAGAAGGGTAACATTTTTAGCCATTGTATGATTACCCAACTTCTACCCACATACATAAAACGATATACTATATAGCAAAGCTTAAGTGATTTGATTTATATTTTCACCAAAATCATATTATCCTGCCCTAAACTGCTAAATGCAGTAGCACCTTATTGCAGTACACGAGATCCAGGGGGCGGAGTCGAATCCAGATCTGAGGTGTGGAGCTGGGTAGGTTTTGGGGTGGGTTTAGGGATCAGGGGGTGGAGCTGGGTAGGTTTTGGGGTGGGTTTAGGGATCAGGGGGTGGATCTGGGTTGGTTTAGGGGTGGGTTTAGGGATCAGTGGGTGGAGCTGGGTAGGTTTTGGGGTGGGTTTATAGATCAGGGGGTGGAGCTGGGTAGGTTTAGGGGTGGGTTTAGAGATCAGGGGGTGGAGCTGGGTAGGTTTAGGGGTGGGTTTATAGATCAGGGGGTGGAGCTGGGTAGGTTTTGGGGTGGGTTTATAGATCAGGGGGTGGAGCTGGGTTTGGTTTAGGGGTGGGTTTAGAGATCAGGGGTGGAGCTGGGTAGGTTTAGGGGTGGGTTTAGAGATCAGGGGGTGGAGCTGGGTAGGTTTAGGGGTGGGTTTAGAGATCAGGGGGTGGAGCTGGGTAGGTTTAGGGGTGGGTTTAGAGATCAGGGGGTGGAGCTCGGTAGGTTTTGGGGTGGGTTTATAGATCAGGGGGTGGAGCTGGGTAGGTTTTGGGGTGGGTTTATAGATCAGGGGGTTGAGCTGGGTAGGTTTAGGGGTGGGTTTAGAGATCAGGGGGTGGAGCTGGGTAGGTTTAGGGGTGGGTTTAGGGATCAGTGGGTGGAGCTGGGTAGGTTTAGGGGTGGGTTTAGAGATCAGGGGGTGGAGCTGGGTAGGTTTAGGGGTGGGTTTAGGGATCAGGGGGTGGATCTGGGTAGGTTTAGGGGTGGGTTTAGAGATCAGGGGGTGGAGCTGGGTAGGTTTAAGGGTGGGTTTAGAGATCAGGGGGTGGATCTGGGTAGGTTTAGGGGTGGGTTTAGAGATCAGGGGGTGGAGCTGGGTAGGTTTAGGGTGGGTTTAGGGATCAGGGGGTGGATCTGGGTAGGTTTAGGGGTGGGTTTAGAGATCAGGGGGTGGATCTGGGTAGGTTTAGGGATCAGGGGGTGGAGCTGGGTAGGTTTTGAGGTGGGTTTAGGGATCAGGGGGTGGATCTGGGTAGGTTTAAAGGTGGGTTTAGAGATCAGGGGGTGGAGCTGGGTAGGTTTAGGGGTGGGTTTAGAGATCAGGGGGTGAATCTGGGTAGGTTTAGGGATCAGGGGGTGGAGCTGGGTAGGTTTTGAGGTGGGTTTAGGGATCAGGGGGTGGATCTGGGTAGGTTTAGGGGTGGGTTTAGAGATCAGGGGGTGGAGCTGGGTAGGTTTAGGGGTGGGTTTAGAGATCAGGGGGTGGAGCTGGGTAGGTTTAGGGGTGGGTTTAGAGATCAGGGGGTGGATCTGGGTAGGTTTAGGGATCAGGGGGTGGAGCTGGGTAGGTTTTGAGGTGGGTTTAGGGATCAGGGGGTGGAGCTGGGTAGGTTTAGGGGTGGGTTTATGGATCAGGGGGTGTAGCTGGGTAGGTTTAGGGGTGAGTTTGAAACATTGTGTACGTGTGAAAAGAACTTTACAAATAAAATTAAACTTGACATTGTAATAAAATTGAAAAAACAAAACAAAAATAGTTACAAAAACAGGATTAGTAAATTATGACGGAGGTTTCATTTTTGGGTGAACTCGTAACATCAGGCAAATACAAATATGTAAACCCATTCTTACCAACATTATCTAGGCCACAAAACTGAACCTGGGACCTTCTATTAGATGTATTATGCTTCCAAATGTATAGGCATTAACTGTCTTTGTCATGCTTTCTGTCTGTAGGACTACCTTGTAAACATTCTTCTGAAGACTGCACGTAATGAGACATGTGAAGGAGCCAGGTACAACATACTTTCTTACCTCTGTCTATTATTATAATGATCCAATCAAGGAAACTGAGCCTTATGTGTTCAGTGATCTTGTACTAATTTTTGACTTTTTATTTTGATCCTATTCAAATCCCATGCAAATGGAAGCTTGTTTCCGCCACAAAATAAAAAATGGAAAAAAATAGGTTGCGACTTTTTTTCTCTCTCACAATTACGAGTTTACATCTTGGAATTGTGTGATTAAAAAGTCACAATTGCGAGTTATAAAAGTCAGAATTGTGTGATATTAAGTTGCAATAAAGACAAAAGGCAAAAGAAGTCAAAAGTGCAAGTTTATTTCTCATAATGCGAGTTTATAACACGCATTGTGAGTTTATATCTCGCAATTCTGATTTTATATCACACATGTGACTTCATATCTCGCAACTCTGACTTCATATCTCGCAATTCTGATTTTAACATCAGAAGTCACAGTTGTCTTTTATGTTTTATTCTATGGCAGAAACAAGCTTCCATAGATGTATGATTACAACATACTGATCTGTTTTACCTTGTGAATGATATAAATGGCTTTTCTGGCAGTAATCTGAGTGTGTTTTAACCATGTTTTAGGTGTGTAGCGATCTGCAGTCTGGGGCTATGGGTGTGTGAGGAGCTGAGACACACAGAAACACATCATCAGGTGAAGGATGCAATCAACGTCCTGGGTGTCACACTGAAGGTGATTATGTTTGATGTGTTCTTCACTCTGAAGTGGTTTTAGTCTGTCCTCCTAATCCATTTTAGTTGTATTACTACTGTATGAAGTTTGTATTCATCCACAAAAGTAAACCCAGATAGCAAACTGACATTGAATCAACGTGGAAACGACGTCTCTCATGACATTGAAACAACGTTGATTTGCTCATCGAATTAACGTTGAACCAACGTCAGACGCGGCATTCTTCAAAGCTAAATGAAAATCGAAAATTGGTTTGCTTTCATAACGTTGAAACAACGCGTTGATTTCAAGTTGATTTTCCGTTAGTTTTGAAAGAATGACGCATCTGATGTTGGTTCAACGTTAATTCGATGAGCAAAACAATGTCAGATCAACGTTGTTTCAATGTCATATTTCCACGTTGATTCAATGTCAGTTTGCTATCTGGGAAGCTAATCATTTGCTGTATCTCATTTCTCTGAAAAACACACTGAAAAGTGTGTGCGTGCGTGTGCTTGCGTGTGTGTGATGTTTGTGACGTTCAGCCTTGTTTTGTCCAGTCAAACTCAATGCATTAAGGGGCCGTTTACACAACACCGTTTTCAACTAAAAGCATTTTGGCTGTTTATTTACACAACAACAGTGTTCTGGTGGCCTGAAAACACAAACTTTTGAAAATGGGTTTCAAGTTTTTGAATATGACACACTTATCGTATTCATGTTAACCACAAAAAAACCCGCAAATCTGTGAAAACTCTGACGTCATGCACATGTGTTGGATATTACGTGTTTAGTCTAGGCTTTTTCTTTTTTTTTTTCTTTTTTGCAAATGAATGGAGATATTAACAGGTAGATAAGGGTCATCACAAGTGGTACGAATTACACAAATCATTATGTCATCATGAAAAATGTAAGCTTTCTTAGAACAGACTCAAGGATAATACATGTTTTTGAACCAATTTTGTTCAAAGGTTTTGAAATTTTCTTAAAGGAAGTAAAAAGGGACTTTATATCAAGAGGAGAGCATTCTAAAATTGGCATTACAGTGAATGTTTCTGGCTTTGTGAAGATGAAATGTACCCAGAAGACAAACTAAGATAATACAGTATTGTCAAGGTTAACATCCTTAGAATGAAAATCTAGTAGAAAATTATAGATTATAGTTATAATTATGTAATTTGTGTATATAGGCATGGGTGTTTGGCTCGAGTGCACTGTAGTAAAATAATGGCTGTGTGTGCAGCCATGTAGTCTTTCTTTACAAAGTGATCATCTCTGAACACACAACACATCAAGCCTTGAAGCAGAAGAGCATCTCTGAACACACAACACATCAAACCTTGAAGCAGAAGAGCATCTCTGAACACACAACACATCAAACCTTGAAGAAGAAGAGCATCTCTGAACACAACACATCAAACCTTGAAGCAGAAGAGCATCTCTGAACACACAACACATCAAACCTTGAAGCAGAAGAGCATCTCTGAACACACAACACATCAAGCCTTGAAGCAGAAGAGCATCTCTGAACACACAACACATCAAACCTTGAAGCAGAAGAGCATCTCTGAACACACAACACATCAAACCTTGAAGCAGAAGAGCATCTCTGAACACAACACATCAAACCTTGAAGAAGCAGAAGAACATCTCTGAACACACAACACATCAAACCTTGAAGCAGAAGAGCATCTCTGAACACACAACACACCAAACCTTGAAGCAGAAGAGCATCTCTGAACACAACACATCAAACCTTGAAGAAGCAGAAGAGCATCTCTGAACACACAACACATCAAACCTTGAAGCAGAAGAGCATCTCTGAACACACAACACACCAAACCTTGAAGAAGCAGAAGAGCATCTCTGAACACACAACACATCAAACCTTGAAGCAGAAGAGCATCTCTGAACACAACACATCAAACCTTGAAGCAGAAGAGCATCTCTGAACACACAACACACCAAACCTTGAAGCAGAAGAGCATCTCTGAACACACAACACATCAAACCTTGAAGCAGAAGAGCATCTCTGAACACACAACACATCAAACCTTGAAGCAGAAGAGCATCTCTGAACACACAACACACCAAACCTTGAAGAAGAAGAGCATCTCTGAACACACAACACACCAAACCTTGAAGCAGAAGAGCATCTCTGAACACACAACACACCAAACCTTGAAGCAGAAGAGCATCTCTGAACACTCAACACACCAAACCTTGAAGCAGAAGAGCATCTCTGAACACACAACACACCAAACCTTGAAGCAGAAGAGCATCTCTGAACACACAACACACCAAACCTTGAAGCAGAAGAGCATCTCTGAACACACAACACACCAAACCTTGAAGAAGCAGAAGAGCATCTCTGAACACAACACATCAAACCTTGAAGCAGAAGAGCATCTCTGAACACACAACACACCAAACCTTGAAGCAGAAGAGCATCTCTGAACACACAACACACCAAACCTTGAAGCAGAAGAGCATCTCTGAACACACAACACACCAAACCTTGAAGCAGAAGAGCATCTCTGAACACTCAACACACCAAACCTTGAAGCAGAAGAGCATCTCTGAACACTCAACACATCAAACCTTGAAGTAGAAGAGCATCTCTGAACACTCAACACATCAAACCTTGAAGCAGAAGAGCATCTCTGAACACACAACACACCAAACCTTGAAGCCGAAGAGCATCTCTGAACACACAACACACCAAACCTTGAAGAAGAAGAGCATCTCTGAACAAACAACACACCAAACCTTGAAGCAGAAGAGCATCTCTGAACACACAACACACCAAACCTTGAAGCAGAAGAGCATCTCTGAACACTCAACACACCAAACCTTGAAGCAGAAGAGCATCTCTGAACACACAACACACCAAACCTTGAAGCAGAAGAGCATCTCTGAACACACAACACACCAAACCTTGAAGCAGAAGAGCATCTCTGAACACACAACACACCAAACCTTGAAGAAGCAGAAGAGCATCTCTGAACACAACACATCAAACCTTGAAGCAGAAGAGCATCTCTGAACACACAACACACCAAACCTTGAAGCAGAAGAGCATCTCTGAACACACAACACACCAAACCTTGAAGCAGAAGAGCATCTCTGAACACACAACACACCAAACCTTGAAGCAGAAGAGCATCTCTGAACACTCAACACACCAAACCTTGAAGCAGAAGAGCATCTCTGAACACTCAACACATCAAACCTTGAAGTAGAAGAGCATCTCTGAACACTCAACACATCAAACCTTGAAGCAGAAGAGCATCTCTGAACACACAACACACCAAACCTTGAAGCCGAAGAGCATCTCTGAACACACAACACACCAAACCTTGAAGAAGAAGAGCATCTCTGAACAAACAACACACCAAACCTTGAAGCAGAAGAGCATCTCTGAACACACAACACACCAAACCTTGAAGCAGAAGAGCATCTCTGAACACACAACACACCAAACCTTGAAGAAGAAGAGCATCCCTGAACACACAACACACCAAACCTTGAAGCAGAAGAGCATCTCTGAACACACAACACACCAAACCTTGAAGCAGAAGAGCATCTCTGAACACACAACACATCAAACCTTGAAGCAGAAGAGCATCTCTGAACACACAACACACCAAACCTTGAAGAAGAAGAGCATCCCTGAACACACAACACACCAAACCTTGAAGCAGAAGAGCATCTCTGAACACACAACACACCAAACCTTGAAGAAGAAGAGCATCCCTGAACACACAACACACCAAACCTTGAAGCAGAAGAGCATCTCTGAACACACAACACACCAAACCTTGAAGCAGAAGAGCATCTCTGAACACACAACACATCAAACCTTGAAGCAGAAGAGCATCTCTGAACACACAACACACCAAACCTTGAAGAAGAAGAGCATCCCTGAACACACAACACACCAAACCTTGAAGCAGAAGAGCATCTCTGAACACACAACACACCAAACCTTGAAGAAGAAGAGCATCCCTGAACACACAACACACCAAACCTTGAAGCAGAAGAGCATCTCTGAACACACAACACACAACAAAACTGGACAATAGAAGATTAGGTAAACGTTAGCTTTCCTGATGAGTCTCGATTTCTGCTGCGACATTCAGTTAGTCGGGTCAGAATGACAATGTCCATCCCTTTATGAACACAGTGTACCCATATTCTAATGGCTACTCTCAGGATAACAAAGCTCAAATCACCTCAAACTGGTTCTTGAACATGACAATCAGTTCACTAAACTCAAACGGCCTTCAGTCGCCAGATCTCAGATCTCAAAAGTCACCAGTCCAATAGAGCAGCTTCGGGATGTGCTGGAACAAGAGACTTGCATCATGGACGTGCAGACGACAAATCTGCAGTAACGGTGTGGTATCATCATATCAATGATTTTCGACCAACGTCTCTAAGGAATGTTTCCAACACCTTGTTGAATCTATGCCATAAAGAGACAAGGCAGTTTTTAAGGCAAATGGGATGTTAGTGCTGTCAATAGATTACAGTTTATAATCGCAATTATTTGCACCCTTTTGTGACACTTATTCAAACAAACATTTCAGAACTGATAGTGTATCCACAAGTTTCCGAGGGGCGCTCCTGTAAACAATAAAGTGGGTGAAACTTCCGGTGACGCAGCAGAAGTAGCGTTCCAATGGTATTTTGTGTGTTAGTTAGCAAAGAGGCTAGCTGTTTTTCGGAGAATTATTTTACTATTTAAAGACGCAAATCTTTATGAGAGATGTCGTTACGGAGCTCAGGGACAACATGTGCTGTTCGCGGTTGTATATATAACCGGACTAAACTAGTTCAGTGGCTTAAACGTGATTGTTTTGAACATAAGCTGAAAACGAAATCAGAGTGATCCTGCCAGAGCCCGTCTCTGATCCTGCCAACGACTGTAGTTTCCATCACCTCCCAAAAGACGATGAATCTTCCTGTGTACATTTGTTTAAATTCTTAATATTCTATAAACGCTATCAGCATGTGATTGGCTGTTCGCTACTGATGTTACACTCAAACTCAGGATCAAAGCCTGTGTTGACAGAATACCAAATGTGCCAGTTAATGTATTCAAGTAGCACATTCATTTATAATTTTGAATAAACTCCAAAGCACAATGACTAAGTGTGTATTTTTTATTTTAATTGTTTGTCAGCTCACACAACTGTCTGTCACCATGCCTTGATGAGTATTGATTATTAATAATGTTATTATAATACTCCCAATCAACTACTGCGGAGGGTAAAGGTACTGTTATTTCACCCTTTTGAATTTCGTTGAGGTTGTGTTCCCACATCGTTAGCTAGTTTGGATCGCTATAACTTGAATGACTGTCAACTGTAGAATGAACGAGTGTCAAGCATGTCAAGTCGCGCTTTGTTTACTTCAAACCGGAAGACACGCCCACTTTTGACGCAAGTCCTCATGGGGCGTAGGAAACTTGTGGATAGTATGGAATTACTAAACACAGCAAACATGAAAAACTACAAAGGAAAACATTATCCTGAATGTGTGTGAAAACAACGTAGAGTGTAATGAAAAATACATAATCTATAAATGCACAGAGAGGGCACTTACACAGTTTGTTTATGCATCAATATAATCGACTGACGTGTGGCTACTGTACAACCCCTGTATGTCACCACATTTGTCATGCAATCCTCATCCATGAGGCGCTTGTTTGCTTTATGCAGTAGTTTGCGTGTCATCTACCTGTACAGCGGTGGATGTGTGAGGTGCGCTTCAGAAACATCACAAAATATGACAGAGCTTTTGTTTTGAAGCTAAACACACTGGAATGGATAATTCAATGAAAACGCAATAACTGGCATCTGTGATGTAATCAGCCTGGTTTTCTTTAATTCGCTTACTGCATCATTGGACTGAAATCGTCCCAATCTGATCGCAAACCGAAGCGAAATCAGGTTAAATAGTTTCAATTTCCAATTTCCACCTTTAATTATTTCCGCGCTAAGCGTTATTTTGTATTAATTGCATGGTTTTAAAATACTTTTTTGTGTTGAAAAGCTGTTGTGAAAAGAGACCAAAACCAGGAAAAAACTAAAAGGATAATAGAATAAAATTTTTAAATATGCAAACGATTTAGTCAAAGGTAATCTTCTAGAACGTTACCTCAATATAACATAATGTAAAGTTATCATAAATCGATGGATTATATAAAAATCCAAATGTTTGAAAGACTTTTTGAATCATAGTTATTTGAATCTAAAACCACGTCTAAAACGAGACCTTCCGAATATCGTCTTCACGTTCCCTTCCTCATGCTGCTGTAATTACGTCCAGTTCATGTTGACACGCAGCAGGTCAGGCCAGAGTAAAGCTTTGGGAAAGGAACAGGGTTTCCATCTCTAAAAGCATGTGCCGAGCTGTTGGGAGTTTATGTGCGGCTTTTTCTCTTCTATTACTCTGAGCAAACACTCACTCTCTCGCCTCAGATTCCACATGACTGAAGCCCAGAGCAAGAGAGAATTGTGGGTAGAGCAACAGACAGAATCCATTAACCTGGCATCCTCCCAGAGAAGTGTTTCTCTAGAATAATATGGTGCTAAATAGCAAAAACAAACATAGAAATGACACAAATAATGGCATGCGTTTTAATCATGAAGATGCATTATGCCATATATTCAATTTCAGCGTCATCTTTTACCATTTGATTTATCTCATATAATATTTTAATACCTAATTGTGTTGACAAACGTTGGAGACATAACTGTAAAACCTTGTAAAAAAGAGTTAAGATCTGAGAACAGGTGGTTTTAGTGAGCCATAACTTGAAAGAATCAGTCAAATGATATTTCAATATTATCAAATCATTTATAAAGAGAAAATGTATTGCTTTGCAAGATGCTCACCAAGGCTACATTTATTTAATCAAAACTACAGTTACAGCAGGAATATTGTGTAATATTGTTGCATCTGTTTTCTATTTTAATATATTTTATACTGTTATTCTTTTGTAGACAGATCTGAATGTTCAGCTGAATTCGCTCAAGAAATGTTATTATGAAATGTTTCAGTATGATTAATTGTGCTGCTATGTATGTATTAACCATTTTTTTTTGGGGGGGGGGGGGGGATTGTTTGATTAAATAGAAGGTTTATAAAGCACAAGAGGTAAAGCCTCATCTACTTAGCTTTATATCAATTTCTGCATATACTCTAAGTTAGTGTTGTCACGGTACCAAAATTTCAGTATTCGGTACCAATACCAGTAAAAATTCACGGTTCTCGGTACCAATTTCGGTACCAAAGCTTAGTTTAAATTTACATATATTTAAGTGTTTATCACGGTTACAAGTATGGAAACTGTACATTTGTATTATAAACACTTTAGAAAAAAATTAGATAAAATGACCTAAAATAAACAATAGTATACACCAACACATTTTTAAAGTTGTTTGTAAAGTTCTAATCCGTTAACATTTATTTAATGCACAATGAATAAAGTGAACAAACATGAACAATCAAGTGTTTCTATTAAATAACATTTACAAACATTAATTAATGTTGTAAAAATATATTGTTCACTCAATGTGTTGATGTGAAGTAGCTAATGTTGATAAATGGTATCTTATTGTAGCATTACCAAACTATAGGCTACAGGAGAAAAAACATGTTTTATTTGATTTGACTGTACTTTTATTTAATCTAAAACTGCATTCATATTTAATTTTGAAAAGGCTTTTTAAACCTGCTGAGTTATAAAGGCAAGAATACGCCTAGAACTGGCACTGACATTAAATGACATAAATAGGGATGCATCGATACTAATACCAGTACTCTGGTGAAAGCACTTTAGAGGCCGTTCACATATCGCGCGTGTTTTTTTTTTTTTAATTATATTTTTGCGCGTGCTTATTCTTTCCAAAGCGCTTGCTCTCACGTGGCGTCTGTCGTTGCTATGCAACGAGTTTTTATTATGAGCGCGCTTGCCTCGCGCCTATATTTGAAATTGCGAATTTACATGTAATCGGCCTCTTATGGCAACGTGACATTAGCCTAATCCAAAATATTTCCATATGTGGCTCTTTACTCCTTTCGTGTCAACAAGTGGATTCAGAGAGAGAGCCATATCAGCGTTATGAAGAGGACGCAACTGTGCACCTTTCAGACAGCGCGTCTAGAACTGGATTAACCTGGTATTCGGTACCTAGAAAAGCTGGTACCGTGACATTTTTTTTTTTTTTTAGTACCGACTTTTAGTACCGAGTTTTTTGACAACACTACTCTAAGTAATATTATGATTATTCAATATGTTTCTTCCTGTTCATGTTCATTTCGTGAAAAACAGTCATTTCTATTATCATTTTTTTCATCTAGTAACGTGAGCGTGAATGTGATTCTGTCTCTTAGTTTGGAAATAAGGTGGTGGCAAATGTGGCCTGTGACATCTTTCAGCTGCTGATTTCTCACTGGCAGCACTTACAGAGACTGGAGCCGTCCCTTCCCAAAAGAATCATTGAGGTATGAAGCATCTTCATCTGCATGATGCATCTGTTGTGGTCTTGTGCATGTGACGCCTGATTAATCTCTGCTTTTCCTCTGTTGTAGATTTTTGTAGCAACCATAGCGTTTCTTCTGCCCAGTGCTGAACACTCAACAGTTGAGGCAGATAAAAAGGTAAGCAAAGCAGAAGTGAGCTTTAATTTAGGTCTCTGTTTGTGTAAGCAGTGTTGGACATGGGAATTCAGAATGAGCAGCTCCCGGTTATTCTGTCTCCGTGCTTGGCGTTTCATCCGTCCTAACAGCTTGTCTTTGGCATGTTTATTGATTATTGTGTAGCGGTGTCATGAGTGTGCTAAATGATTGCGCTCTCCGTGTGCTCTAGTTAATGGTGTCTCTACTGCTGTGCCTGCTGGACTGGTGCATGGCCGTACCTCTCTCCATCCTCCTGGAGCCCATCACTATGCCTGTGCTGGATGACCCCACCTCACAGAAAGCCCCGCTACTCGACTACATTTACAGGGTGGGTACAGGCGTCGCGAACTTGTATTAAGGAAGTAGGGCTGCACAATTTAGGGAAAAAATCTTATTACGATTTTTTTTTTCTTGATAAAAATCACAATTTAAAAAAAAAATCAAATCTAGGTTTGCTAATGATAATGGCTCACACATTTAAAATGTCAGACGACGTTGTGGAGAAGTTAATCACTGAGGTCGAGAAAAATCCACCAATGTTTGACAAGTCAAGCCGCTTTTAAAGAAAATGGATATGGAAAACAATCGTCCATACCCTCAGTAAAAAAAGACTAGTTGTTGTTTTTATTCCACTATATTGACTACATCAGCTAAATTCACTGTTAGGTTATTTGATTTCACTCGTTTCACTCAAAACATAGCATGTTCAATGACATTTTACACTCTTTGAAACTGTAGTGCGCGAGCTTAGAATGAACAGACCAGTTCGTTGGTGTGGACCAGTGTTGTTTTTGGCAGCCATTTTAGTTTTAGTCTTAGTCTTTTGGACAAAAATGCTTTTTAGTTTTAGTCACATTTTAGTCACTTAATAGTTTTAGTCAAGTTTTAGTTGACGAAAGTACAAAAAGGTTTTAGTCAAGTTGTAGTAAAAGAAAAAAAAGTAGTCTTTAAAAAATTAATTTAGGTAAAAAAGGGCTGGAAATGGGCTCAGGTTTGACAGGTTTATCAAGTGTTGCAATTCATAAAACAAGCTAACCTTAAAACCTTTGCATTACAAACTAGACTTTCTCATTGATGGAGATGCAGTGCTGCCATTGCCAAGCTGTACTTCATTGTCACATTGGGCAGAAACCTTTAATCCCCATATTTCAAGTTATAGTTTTACCCCTAAATATTAAATGCTATTTTCACCAGTTATCACAGTAATAAAGAAATGGTTTAAAGTTTAAACAGCAAAAAACTTTGAGCTACTAGAACATTACAAACAGATAAAGTGGTAACAGTGGAATGTTTTACTCCAAAAACGTCAGAAATAAAAACATTCTTACTTTGGCAATTGTGGATTTATTTGAGAAATTGCTGAAGTGCAATGAACAACGTAGTATGCAACAATAAGATGCTTATTATTTGTAAACACAATCATTATACAAGCCTGTCTATTTTTAACTTGTCCAAACTGCAAAGTTGCAAACAGTCTGAAAAAAAATAATACAATAAATATCTAATACTGAGGTGCATTGAACATAGGTTGTTAGGAACAAACATGACACTTGGAGTGTGTTGAACATAAAAATGAATACTGTAAACACTATATTTGGAACTGGTTAGTTTGGTATTTTACACTTAAAGCCCTATTTTAAGATCGTTTCTGATGAAATAGAACGGTTGAGATTAAAATTTGGACAAATGCTGTTGTCCCGAGAATTTTAGGTTTGTGTGTTAGCACCCACACACTCATTCATAAAACGCAACGTTTACAAAGACGTCAAACTCACCGAGGGGTCAGGGATGTTCACTGATATGCTCACACAAACATCGCTGCAAAATATGCTTTCCAACAGGTTTTATCCTAGTTTTCGTTCGACTCCATTGACTTGACTTGATACAAAAACTACGATAAAACCTGTGCTGGAATCTGGTGCGCGCGCGGCAGCCGGGTGTTGGGCTTACCCGATAGGAAACGGCAGCATTGCTGATACATTTTTTTTTAACTTAATACAGACAAATTTCAAGCAAAACAGGCAGAAATTGCATACATTGTGATCGTCAGACTTATAATAATTTTCGTTCCGTCTCGTCAACGAAATCTCGAAAACGTCTCTTCATGTTTTAGTCACCTTAGAGCTGTTTTTAAGTCAAGTCAAGTCAAATATAGCGCTTTTTAGCTAGTCATCGCCACGTTATTGTCATAAAAAAACGGTGCGCCAACAAAATCATTTCGTTATCGTCATCACTGATGAAAACATCATTGGTGTGGACTCAAATATATTTATCATTATAGTTATCTTTATAGTTATAATTCTTTGTGTGAACGGCCCTTCGGTTCAATTGAAACAAACTCTGGTGTGATTGCTCTGATAGTGCGGTTCATTTGAATAAGTGTGAACGCTGCCAATCTGAACCCTGTTGGGCCTCTGTCCACTTCCAAAGGAACTATGGTGCAGCAACACTGACCAAAGACATCTAAACAAACCAAAATCAGGACCCTGACGTCACAAAATGTGACCCAACAAAAGACAATGCTGCATTGTTGGCTATTACTTTTTGGAACATGCATCAGAAATGCCTTATTAACAAACTACTATATAATGTTGAATATAATATAGAATAAGTAATGCAATGGGGGAATATTTGTGGGTCCTGATAATGCCAAATGTCTGATGTTACCATTAAAAAGTGGCCTACGTTATTTTAAATACTGTATATTTAGTCAGTGACAGTGTGCATGCATATTCATCTAAAATAATTCTGTATTTTCAACTTCGGAATCATTATTTTTATTCGGGTGCCACTATTGTCCAAGCCTATTCATTTACACCCACAATGTAATGCCAAACTTAGCATTTTAAAGGGATACTCCACTTTTTTTTGCAAATAGGCTCATTTTACAACTCCGTCAGGGTTAAACAATTGAGTTTTACCCTTTTCGAATCCATTTAGCCGATTTTCTGATATTTAGAAAAAATATCAGTAACCAGACAATTTCTGGTCTCATTGACTTCCATAGTATATTTTTTTCCTACTGTGGAAGTCAATGAGACCAGAAACTCTCTGGTTACTGAAATTTTTCTAAATATCAGAAAATCGGCTGAATGGATTCGAAAACGGTAAAACTCAACTGTTTAACTCTAGGGGAGTTGTAAAATGAGCCTATTTCCAAAAAAAGTGGAGTATCCCTTTAATCAACAGTACATTTTTTGTTAACCTTTTATCATATGTCTTGGAGAATCGCAATAATATTATATTGTGAGATCAGTATCGTATCGAGTCATAACATGAGGGTATCGTTACACCCCTAATAAATAAACATAAAAACCTTTTTTTTTTTTTAGAACCTTTTAACGCTTGTCTTTTTTTAACGAACGCTTCTCGTTACATGTATAGGAAGATGGTTGGCACTTACTGTGTGAACATCACAGTGACAGATTATAGCTTGGCTTACGTCAGACCTCTGGGAACCACATGTTCATTTTCTCGTATTCGAGGCGTTGTTTACGAATTCAGAGCCGTTTATTGGGTGCTAAGAATGTCTATCAAATGCGCCTGCACGTAGCTCATAACCAATCGTTTCAATTATACCAGATGGCGTATGTTGAGCGACAGAAATTAGACGAGGTTTATGTGTCTTTCGTCATCGTCTTGCTGCTCCCTCCCCGTTCTGTGATTGGTTCCCTAGATGAGGCGAAAGTTTTGTCCATGCTATTCCAGTAAAATCGCGCTGCTGCAAGGCAGTATGGGAAACCCAGGCTAGACAGATCATGAGCTGCTCATGTGTAAAAATACAGTGCCATGCTTGTGCTGAAACACACAGCACATACAGTATATTATTTAATTAAATCACAGCCTTTGCGATTTAATAAATACACTAAGCCATATTGCAATTTCGGTTTTATTTCAATGAATCGTGCAGCTGTAGAGTGACTGTTACTCTAGTTTGTTACTTGAAATTAAAGCAGAAATCTTCCAGTGTGTGTGTGCGTGCGTTACGTTCTATTATAAATGCATCGGTCCCTCGCAGCTCATATTTAGTCATCAGACGCTAATGAGAGGGCATTGAGGGGCACAGAATAAATGAGATATTAGTCCCGGGCTGTTGTGCAGATGCAGACAGACACGGACCTTTGTGCAGATGTCATGCTCCCAGAAAAAAAAATGGCCGAATTATTTAAATGTCTCATTGTTGGACTGATAAGCTCACCAATGAATGCCAAACTCAAGAATTCAGTTCATCATCATATGAGAGAAAATGCACCTGCTGCAAAGGGGAAAGGGGAAGAATAAATGTCCTTTGTTTTCCTCTGCACTCGTTTGACTGTTAATCATTTTCTGCTAGTTATTATATGCTCAGTGGGAGTACTTTAATCTCCCATCTTTCAGAGCTGAATAGCATCTAACACGAGCACATGTACATAACCCTCGCCAGGACAGCACATCAATACTCTTGTTTTCGAGTGCCTCGTCTCAATTAAGAGCAAGAAATAATGATTAGCATCTCGTGCTTATAGTACTACTCAAATAATAATTGATGATAAATGTCCTTTAAGGTTATGGAGTCTTGGCTCGTTTATGCTGCACAGTTTGAGAAGTGCCACTTAGTAAATGTATAAACTGATGAAATCACAATGAATCCTCAGAACCAGCGAATGCCATTTAATACTTTGGGTGCTAAATTTTCCTCAATTTATTTCTTCCTCTCTCCTCTTATCACTAGGTGACGGCGTTATACTTAGTCGGTTTGATTTTCTACTACTATCTAACAGGAAAAGCAATCAGTTTATGGCCGAGGTATCGCAGCTCTTAGCAATCAGTATGTGAGGGATATAATGCAGTGGGTTGTACCTTAGTCAACTCAAGTCACCGTATTCATAGAGTTTACAATACAGATTGTTTTAAAAGAGCTTTATAGTATTAAACAGAAATCAACCAGAATAATTTCAATTTAGGTTTTTTTTTCTAATCCAATAGTTATCACTGATTTACTTTTGATTTTCACTTTTACTGATATACATTGATAGTTCGCTTTGGATGACCTGTATCTCTGATATATCAGCAGTTTCCAGTTGAACCAGATGGCACTAATAGCTCTATGGTGGTGATTATGTGTCAAATCAAAGCTCTGCGGTTTTATTTATTTTTGGGTATTTTTACAACATGAATGTATATCAGATCATGTTTATGTAGCTTATATTGTCATTGTTTGCTGCGTCAGTGTGTGGTGTTTGAGAATGAGCCAAGGGATAAAGCCTTAATTAAATCAAACAGAGCAAACCTGTTCAGGCACTATGATAAACTGTGCTGGACCGTGTCTTATCTTCTCCAGCCAATAGAGCCATGACCATCTGTTTCTGCACATCGATACACTCCCATATCACAGGAGAAAAAGATTATTAGCCCATAAAGCCCCTCTCTTTGGGTTTCCTGGCTTAGCATTGTAAATATCGTCCCATCTCCATATGGTGGCCTTGCAGCACTCAACCACACCGCCTGGGTGTAACAACAATGTTTCAATCTATTAAAGATTTCTTTTTAATGCATCTCAGTGGTGTGCCAAGAAGATCGTCTTCATGACTGAGTTGTTGATACATCTCATTAGATTTGAATGTAGTACCTTATTCATTGCATTGTGCTTTTGTAACAACAGAACAACGAGAAAGCTGCTCATTATTTAACAAATAATTCTTGTAATCTCTCTTTTTTTCTGAAGGTATTCCCCAGGGTTCTGTATTAGACCCGTAAAACTTTTTTTTTAGTATTTAGTCATTTTTTTTGTAGCTTATCAGTTATCAACTTATTTGTAGCTGCCAGTAGCGGAGTGGCAATCGGGAGAGTCGGGAGTTTTCCCGGTGGGCCGGCCCGGTCTGATAAAATGTATTTATTGGAAGTTCGCCATGGCCCAAGCTAAGGGAAGAAAACAATTTTTTTTTTTTTTTTTTTTACATTTTTTCATAACGGAGCATATATTTGCACTAAATGCCTGTCTTTATAGCAAAACGACACCCGTCATAGAACAGCTTCAGTGGCGTAGGTCGTAGGGCGTGAAGTGTTTTTGAATGCAGCTTTTTGATGCGCTGAACGCGAGTTCGAATCCGCCTTGCCGAACTCTCTCTTCTCCCTTTTCCCAACACAGATATGTAAAGATGTAAAATGTAAAACCTAATTTTATATTTTATGTTATATTTTGCCAACGAACTAAAATTGAAACCATATGGCGTTGCGCCATTATAATAACTGACATTAGAATAGCGTCCAGTTTGTTCTGCGTGATTACTTTGCTCTCGCGATCATCTGGCTAAATAAAAGCTCAAGGGTTTATTTCTTGCAAGTGAAGAAATTAGGACAAAAGTATTTTAATTTCCATATATTATAGTGTAATGTAGGTTAAAATATACTTTTGAAATACTCATTTTCATTTACACATTTATAGGCTATAAATGGATTTTACAGTACGTCATAGGAATAATTATAAATCATTATTACATTATTATAATAATTGTTTGGCATCCTAAAACACCATTGATAATGTAATGCAAACTGAGACTCTCATAACTAAAAAAATATTTGAGCCCTCTTTATTGTCCTGGTACAAATTAATGTTTTTTCTTTGTTCAACGAGCAGTTCATGGGTCTTAATTTCGATCTCTCAGAGAGCATGAGATTGATGCATTATAACCTTAAAATGTCCAAAATTTTCTTGCCCCCGAACCCCCCTAGAGGCACAGAGTCCACCCAACTACTTTTAGAAAGTACTATGGGAAAGAACGACCATTTATGAACTTTACTCCAGCATACTAGTACAACAAAGTTTGCTTTAAATCAGTAAAACTGTAAATGCTATTGGCTAATCGTGCCGGCGACGAGGGCCGGTGGTCTACGAAATTTCCCGGTAGATTTTTTGGTCCCACTCCGCCCCTGATCACTGCTATACTAAATTCACTGTTCTGCTGTCTTAGGTGCTGCACACTTGTGTATCAGGGTCTAACCTACACACTCAACAAAGTCACTACCTCCTCAGCCTTGCTGATCTGTCGACAGACTACGAACCCTTCCTTGCTCTTGGCAATGTCAAGAGCTTCGAACCACCCCCCATACACAATGTCATGGGGGACTTTGGAAATCTCCTCACCGTGGCTGAAGGTAAGGATTTCCTGTTGTGCTTCCAATTAATCGTATTGCTATTGTGTTTTGTTATCTACAACGTGTTTAGGGAAATCCTTTGAAAACTCTTCTGGGTCATTGCTCACCCCAAAACCAGAAGAAGAAAAAAATTAGCATTTTTTTCCCCCCCCCTTTTCCTAAGTGCATTTGTCGATACTGAATTTATTACTAATGGTCAGTAAAAAATATTTTGTGAGATTTAACCATATTTTTTAATTTTATTATTTGTTACATAAAATTTAAAAAATTTTGCTACATATCAACACAAATTAATTTTTAATGTCTGAAAAGTAAAGGCAAATTTATAAAATTTATGATGTCAACTTTTCCAGCATAAATTGTGAAACCTCTGCATCTCCCTTAAAAAAGGGATGTTTTTAAATTTGTCTTTTGAGTTTATACTGAGCTCTCGTGAATCATATTAGAGCAAATGTAGCACAATGTGAAATGAAATAGAATTTTAAAGAGGTATGCATTAGTTCCCTCATCCACTCAAAGCAAGCCCATTTATGCCAATTATTAAAGAAATCATTTTTTTTCCCGACCTTGCTTTATCCATTAGGCAACATTTCTTGTGTGTTCTCTACCTTGGCATGTCATCAAATGTCATCTGTTTTTTTGTTGGGGTGGGGTGTGGGGGGATCTTTCCTCTTCCAACAGGGATGCCTTTTATGACAGTACATTTATATCAACAGAGTAGAGGAAGAAAAAGACTGCTGGCTTTTGCAACACTAACATCTCCATCCATTGACATGCCTTTTATATCTCTGCACACGAAAAAACAAACAACCTCAGCCAAAGAGCAACTCATAAGCAATATCCCAGTACCTAGCTCATATTGATTAGTTCACTTCAAAGCTCTGTGCATCCCTAATGCAACTTGCTCGTCTTTGCAAAGAGCTTTTTCCACTTTGATGGGGATGATGGTATTGATAGCACTGTCACAATGTGAGCACTTCGTTTTTCCCCCCTCCTCTCTCTCTCATCCTAATCTTAATATCCACTAATGACAACACTAGATTTCTCACTTTGAGAGGTGTTCAGCATTCAGAGGACTTTAATTCATAGTGCTTGCAGAGCCCTATTCACTTATCACGAAAGGTGTGATGCTCATTAGTGCAGCTCTTTGAGTCTGTTTTAGGAGACTGAAAAGATATTTTAAAGGTGTCTATGTGGACACCCGTATAGATGGTGCAAACGTGGGAAAACTGCCTCCATTGGTCATGACAGCTAAAAGCCAGTATACCAGCTAGCTTTTGAGAAAGATAAGTAAGGGAAAAAACAGTCAGCCAATCCCTATTGCCAAATAAATTCTGACGGGGTGATCAGGACTCCAAAAAGTTAGTCATACATCAAATCAGAATCGGGTACTACAGAGATCTGTGATCATTTGTGGTGATGACTGTACATTATCAGGGCTGTGCAATGGAAAAGTCTGTGAGATGAATAAATAAAAAAAATGGTTAAAATGGCCAAATTACAGCAAACCTCAAAATTGCCAAATAATGGCCACCTAGCGGGCCTGGATGGTCAGTTCACCAACAGAATACCGCATCAGAATCACATATCCCAGAGAGCCATGTAATATAAGAGGGTGATGGGCAGTTTTCTAAATAACAGTGATGGGGATTACTTTTTTTTTTTCATGCAAAGGGTTAGTTCACCCAAAAAATAAAAATGACTTTTATTAATTACCTACCCTCATGTTGTGACAAACCCTTATGACTTTCGTTTTTCTTGGAAACTCAAATGAAGATCCTTTTAATGAGACCTGAGATTTCTGTTCTTCCATTAAAGTCCACCAAAAACGTTGACTTTTCCAAAAGGCATCATAAAAGCAATCTATATAAATCAAGCAGTTTAATCCAAGTCTTCTGAAAAACACTCACTTTATATGATGAGCACATACAGTGGGGCCAAAAAGTATTTTGTCAGCCATTGATTGTGCAAGTTCTCCTACTTAGAATAATGAGAGAGGTCTGTAATTTTCATCATATGTACACGTTAACTATGAAAGACAAAATGAGAAGAAAAAAAATCCAGGAAATCACATGTAGGATTTTTAAAGAATTTATTTGTAAATTATGGTGAAAAATAAGTGTCTGGTCACCCACAAACCAGCAAGATTTCTGGCTCTCAAAGACTCATAATTACTTCTTTAAGAAGCTCTTCTGTCCTTCACGTGTTACCTCTATTATTGGCACCTGTTAGAACCCGTTATCTGTATAAAAGACACCTGTCCACCGCCTCAAACAGTCACACTCCAAACTCAACCATGGCCAAGACCAAAGAGCTGTCGAAGGACACCAGGAAGACAATTGTAGACCTGCACTACGCTGGGAAGAGGGAATCTACAATAGGCAAGCAGCTTTGGTGTGAAAAAAAAATCAGCTGTGGGAGCAATTGTAAGAAAATAGAAGACATACAAGACCACTGATAATCTCCCTCGATCTGGGGCTCCACGCAAGATTTCATCCGGTGGGGTCAAAATGATCATGAAAACGGTGAGCAAAAATCCCTGAACTACACGGAGGGACCTGATGAATGACTTGCAGAGAGCTGGGACCAAAGTAACAAAGGCTACCATAAGTAACACACTACACCGAGAGGGACTCTAATCCTGCAGTGCCTGGCGTGTCCCCCTGCTTGAGCCAGTACATGTCCAGGCCCGTCTGAAGATTGCCAGAGAGCATATGGATGATCCAAAAGAGGATTGGGAGAACATCATGTGGTCAGATGAAACCAAAATGGAACGTTTTGGTAAAAAATCAACTCGTTGTGTTTGGAGGAAGAAGAATGCAGAGTTGTGTCCCAAGAACACCATACCAACTTGAAGATGAAACGTGGCTGGATCTTCCAGCATGACAATGACCCCAAACACACCGCCCGGGTAACCGAGTGGCTCGGTAAAAAGCATTTCAAGGTCCTGGAGTGGCCTAGCCAGTCTCCAGACCTCAACCCCATAGAAAATTTGTGGAGGGAGTTGAAAGTCTGTGTTGCCCAGCAACAGTCCCCAATCATCACTGCTCTAGAGGAGATCTGCATGGAGGAATGGGCCAAAATACCAGCTATAGTGTGTGCAAACCTGGTGAAGACTTACAGGAAACGTTTGACCTCTGTCATTGCCAACAAAGGTTATGTTACAAAGTATTGAGTAGAACTTTTGTTATTGGCCAAATACTTATTTTCCACCATAAGTTACAAATATATATTTTTAAAAATCATACAATGTGATTTCCAGGATTTTTTTTTTTTTTTTTTTCATTTTGTCTCTCATAGTTGAAGTGTACCTATGATGACAATTACAGACCTCTCTCATCATTCTAAGTAGGAGAACTTGCACAATCAGTGGCTGACTAAATACTTGTTGGCCCCTCTGTAGATCATATGGATGCATCAAATATGATCAACAGAGGCACCAGAACCAATGAAGTCTGGTCTCGAATATCAAGCAATTAGGCTTGAGCTTCATTTTATTTAGCAAAAATTAGCAAATCAATGTTTAAATGTGAATAAAAGCTTCAATTAAATCTGTTCTTCATATAAAGTAGTCGTGTCTCTTTAGAAGAATGTTGGTATGGTAAATGGACTGCATTTATATAGCGCTTTCATAGACATAATGGCCACCAAAGCGCTTTACATATTGCCTCACATTCACCCATTCACACACACACATTCATACACCGATGGCGGTGTCAGCCTTGCAAGGCTGCCATCCAGCTCGTCGGGAGCAGCTGGGGTTAGGTGTCTTGCTCATGGACACCTTGACACTTGGTCAGGTGGAACCGAGGATTGAACCACCAACCTTCCAGTTTGTAGACAACCTAGATGAACCACCGAGCCACTGCCGCCCTTGATTTATAATCTTTTTGAGGCATAAACATTTTTGTTACATCCCTTTTATTTAATCAAAAGACAGATATCCCTTGGTTTTGGTGAAATCATCTTCATTGAGGTGATCCTCTTCGAAACCTCAATGAAGATGATGTATTTGCAATGACATGAGGGTAATTATACACATATATCTTATTATTCATTTAAATATAGGGATTTTGGGATTGGCTTTTTGATGATCAACAGTGCCAACACTGATGTTGTTCATTACATCCTCAAAGAGACTATATTAATATTATACTTTATTATCTTAATGTATTATATGTGGCAACTTTTTTCCTGGCAAAAATGGGTTCTGAGGAGAATTAGCCTTTTGACTAACTCGGGTTCATAAACATTTATTTGAATATTTATTCATTTTCAGTGAGCCTTTTTAAATAAATAATATAAATTGAAAACACGTGAACTAACCCTTAGAGTATACCTGTAATTCATATTTTTTCTATGACTTTTTCTATTTTCTATTTCATATTTACTAAACTTAAGTTGTTTGACATCCCAGAAAAGAAAAGGAGAAGCATGGAGCTGATTCCTCTGACTGCTCGGATGGTAATGTCACACCTGGTCAATCATTTGGGACACCATCCTCTCAGCGGCGGCCCTGCTCTTTTAAACAGCCTGGTCAGTGAGAACCACGACAACCCCTACATAGAGTCTTCCGAACTCTCCTCTGAAGTCTTCAAAAGCCCCAATCTACAGCTCTTCGTCTTCAATGACAGCACACTAGTCTCGTACCTTCAGATCCCCTCTGATAATTCCAGCACTGGAAGTGCCAACCCAAGGGATCATTCCTCTGAGGTCCGCGTCATTGTCCGGGACATCTCGGGAAAGTACTCGTGGGACGGCGGCGTTCTCTTCTGCACTTTGGATGGATCTGGCTTGAGCTCCAGTGGCAGTAGAGATCAGTCGTCTCATGACGCCGGTCTCTCTGAAAAGCAGAGCTCCGTCCGCTCCAGTAAATGCTCCTCTGAGTTGGAAGTGGAGGATGGCGTGGATGTGTTGGACCAGCTACTGGAAGATCTCGGCCACAGCAGCCCCGAGTGCCTCCCGCAGCCCCAGCTGAGGCTCACACAGCCCCCCGCTCCACCCATGGGCATGAACCCTGAGATGGAAGGCCTCATCATGGATGCCATCCACAGACAGACGAAGCAAGAGGATGAGGAGCTGATGTGGAGGCAGAGTGAAGACCCCAGCATCAGAGCAGAGACACAGAGAGAGCCCACACACCAGGAGCCAAAATCCCCCTTTTACCTCTGCAGACTTCTTCTCAACGACCTCGGCATGAACTCATGGGATCGCAGGTACAACATTTCAGAGAAGTTTTTTAAATAAATCGTACATCTCGAAATAAATTCAGTCATTTATTCACCCACTTGTAAAGCTGCTCTTTCCCACATTGATTGATTGATAAGACGTTGATTCTTAAGGCCTAATATACTCGAGTGAAGTTCTTTTTCTTTCTTCGCTTATGGGTCAGAAATGGTTCCCATTTGTCCTTTAAAGGGTTAGTTCACCCAAAAATGAAAATTAAGTCATTAATTACTCACCCCCATGCTGTACCAACCCCGTAAGACCTTCGTTCATCTTCGGAACACAAATAAAGATATTTTTGATTGAATCTGAGAGCTAGATCACTCTTCCATAGACTGCCTAAGGGACTGGCTCTTGACGGCCCATAAAGTCATTAAAGAAAAGGTTTAAATATTCCATGTGCCTACAGCGGCTCAATTATACGTTTATCAAGCGACGAGACGAAAACATAAATAACGACTTTATTCCACTATTCCATTACTTCCTTATGGGCGCATGCGCGAGAACTGAGACGAGGACGTTCTCATCCGTCTACTTCTTGTTACCGGCTGCTCACCGCTTAGGAGTTTTACCGCCCCCTACCGTATAAGATGATGTGCTGATATAGCTGGAAGCGCAAAACTTTCTGTTTACAAGCAGAGGAAGATGCGCGCTGTACATACGCTTTTCAATTAGCGTATTTTCCACACTATAAGGTGCACTTAAAAGCCTTTAATCTTCTCAAAAAACGACAGTGTTCCTTATAATCCGGAGCGCCTTATATATGGATCATCATTTTATACGGTAGATGGCGGTAAAACTCCTAAGCGGTGAGCAGCCGGTAACAAGAAGTAGACGAATGAGAACGTCCTCGTCTCAGTTCTCGCGCATGCGCCCATAAGGAAGTAATTTAAGTCGTTATTTATGTTTTCGTCTCGTCGCTTGATAAACTTATAATTGAGCCGCTGTAGGCACATGGAATATTTAAACCTTTTCTTTAATGACTTTATGGGCCGTCAAGAGCCAGTCCCTTAGGCAGTCTATGTAGGACTGATCTAGCTCTCAGATTCAATCAAAAATATCTTTATTTGTGTTCCGAAGATGAACGAAGGTCTTACGGGGTTGGAACAGCATGGGGGTGAGTAATTAATGACTTAATTTTCATTTTTGGGTGAACTAACCCTTTAAGTCTTACATTTACTTTTATCAAATTCAAGGCCATAAAGAGTTTTACATGTCTTAAATGGTATAAGAATTATTTTAATTTTAATTTCAAGAGCTCTTAAAATTGGAAACAGAAAAACAGGAATCAGTGTGTGACTTACCCCTCGTTTCACAGACTAGGCTTAAGCCTATACCTAGCCCACAAGTCATGTTTTAGCTGTTTTGACTGAACGCAACTTTGCACTGGCATATTTTTTAGTATGCGTCTTTAAATATGTCAGTGTCATTTTTGTCTGAGGCACTTTTATGAAAGCTGCTTAATTCTAAGCCCTATCTGTGAAACCAGGCGTTAATGTGTTGATTTAAACCTTAAAAGACGATGATTTAATGAAATAAATGTGAAAGCTGCATGTTTCAAAGTAAAAATGATTGCTTATGATCTATTGTTAATTAATTACGAAAATGTTTATTTTATGGTGTTTAGATGGAGGCTACGTCTCCATTTCCTTCCAACCTAAATTACCCAGAAACAGTAGTTGGCGATTACGTCATTCAGAGCCCTAGTCGATGATGTAGTGAAACTGAGGTGGAGTCCCGGGATTAAATTCCCACCCACAATCGCAAGCACAGCTGTCAATCATAACGTTACACCCCTTTTTTATAGCATCAAATACCTAACTAAACTCAAACTTATTGGAATTTTTTTTGAACACTTAAACATAAAAACTACCTAAAATGATAGAAATAATTTTTGGAAAAAAGTTATTTGAAGTATAAAATGGATTTTTGTATACCATTGAGTTTGGCTCGAGTCCCATTTGATTACATGGAGAGGGCGGGGTTTATAACCTATACTGCAGCCAGCCACCAGGGGGCGATCGAAGTGCTTTGGCTTCACTTTTCAGGACTTGTGCGACATAATTGGTCTTTATTCATACCTGCAAACTTGTTGCCTTTCACAATTCTGACATTAAAATAGAGCATTCACGTGATTATTGCAATTCAGAGGTGTTTTTTTTTTTTTTTTTTTTTTTTCTGTCAGTGGCTGTGTTCGTACTAACGTAAGTCTGAAGGGAACTGACTGCCTTTAACAGTACCTTCACTTTTTTCTGCAGCTTTCTATACAGAGGTTTCAGGCTACCGCTTTATTTCTGCCATTCCGTAAGCGCTACCTACTGACTTTTCAATCAGCTCGTCTGTGTTTTTGGTTTAGTCCAATGCAAAAAACTGCCCTATTTTTAACGCGGCATACACACTGTGTTGTAAATATTAATCGGTGGATCGACCAGAATCTAATGTGCATTGTAAAAGATCTTTCTGACATTTTAACAGTAGTTTATTTAAGTTACAAAACACAGACAGAACAGACACTATGGTCTATCTTTCCTTTGATTGATCATATACTTAATATACTATTCGAACAACGGTTAAAAATCTACTTTTATGGTGCCATGTTATTTTTGAAGGTAAAAGAGCTGCTTAGATATTCCTCTGTACGTTTTTATATGGATGTGAAATTATGAGTGTGAGTAGATGACTAAAGACTTTACATTTTTGAGTATATTTTTTGCATCTCAAAATATATGAGCATGTCACAAAATAATTACTTGACATCTAAATATTTTTAATGCATGCAGTACTTCTAGTTGGCCTGTGCATTGGTTGCAGTGGGATAGGAGGAAACATTTTACCATTAACAATATTTTTTTTTTATTAGCTTCTGTCTCACCATTTATCTTTTGAGAAGTTGTATGATGTTCCATTTTATTTTCTCTTTATAGAAAGAACTTTCATCTTCTAAAGAAGAACTCCAAGCTCTTGAGAGAGCTGAAGAATTTGGACTCAAGGCAGTGGTAAGAGTTTCTGCTTCTGCTTCAGAATGTCTGGAAACAGGATGACAACATCTGACGTTCATGCCTTAAAGGGTTAGTTCACCCAAAAATGAAAATTCTTTGAGTAATTGCTCTCCCTCATGTTGTTCCAACCCTGTAAGACTTTCGTCCATCTTCCGAACACAAATTAAGATATTTTTGATTAAATCTGAATCACTCCTCCATAGGCCTCTGAGGGATTGAAACTGAAAGTATTCTCAGTTTCAAAAAGCATTCTCGTCGCTTAATAAACTTTGATTGAGCCACTGTAGTCACTCGGACTATTTTAACTGTCTTTAATAACTTTTGGGCCGGCCAGTTTCATTCCCTTAGAAGCCTATGGAGGAGTGATCCAGCTCTCAGATTTAATCAAAAATATCTTCATTTGTGTTCCGAAGATGAACGAAAGTCGTACGCGGTTGAACAACATGAGGGAAGTAATTACTCACAGACATTTCATTTTTGGGAGAACTAACCCTTTTAACTCTTTGCCCGACAGCATAAGCCAGCCACTGCCAGAATCTTGAACATTTTCACAACATTTTCAACATTTCCACAGAATATTTTGTTGCGTGAATATCAGATTTTCTTAATCTTTATTCTTTATTCTTAATGTATTCTTTTAACAATTGAATAGGGATAAGTTTCATTTAAAAATAAATAAATAAATAAACATTTTTAGATTTTATTTTAAAGATTACATTCAGATTTGATTCAGAACGATGATCAAAACATAAATGGAGTTGATCCATAAATGGAGTAAGTACATATAAGTTTAACAATATAAGTTTCATATTGTTTAAATATAAATATTAAATATAAATATTGTTTATATATTCTGAATTAAATTGTGTAATTTACTTTCATTCTAATTTAAAATCACATAATAAGCCTATAGATACATTCATCACCCAAAACTGTTCATAAATAATTTATGAATAGTATTTATAATGTGCGTCTATCGCTTGTTTCTGCTTTTTCTCCGTCTGTGTTTTGATCAGTAGATGCTTAATAGCGCCCCCTACTGCAGTGGTTCCCAACTTTTTTTTTGTCTGAGACACCCCCCCCCCCCCCCTTTTTTTTCCCAAGAAAATATTTCTATTATATATTATATTATATTATATTATAATATATTAACTTTTAAAAATATGACGCGACCCCCCACAGAGCTCGCTGAGGCCCCCTTATGGGCCGCGACCCCCCTGTTGGGAACCGATGCCCTACCGTATAACAGTGCAAACACAGAAAGAAGAGAAATTCCATCAATAGCGGGGAAAGAGTTCAATTTTTATACATAATTACACACCTAGTAAATTAGTGACATGAAAACTGAATTATATCTTCTTTCTGACTCATCTGCACTTAACGCAAAAAATCAGCAGCAAACAACAGCATGCATTTGGAGAGCTCTATCATGCAGCCTAATGTCAGTCTACAGAGAGTGGCTAAATCCTTTAAAAGCACTATTAAGGAGACATGTCTTAAGAACACTCTCAGATACTCCGCTACTCACAGCCTAATCCTGCCCACGTCTGGCTGATCACAGATCCACACTTCTCAGCCAACAGCGATCAATAGGCACTCAGAGTGGCTAATTACAGAGGCTTATTAAAGAATACCCCCAGGATCGGGCCAGCGTTCCCCTCTGCAGGCATAGCCGGCCCACTCATGGCAACCGCTGACTGAGCATGCCAAACATCACACTGCAAGGGCATGAGGCTTCATTAGCAACACTGCTCAAAGAGACACACACCGCTCACACATACACACCACATACCAGTATTGTGTTTATTTGCCGATAGCTGTAAAGTTATAGCCTGACTTCGTCATACTCGTATTCTAGGCAGAACGTGAGTTTGATTATGAGGCGTCTTAATCGAACCAGGGAAAAAACAAATCTGCACTCAATTGGATAGACCTACAACCAATCAGAGCAACGCAGCAAGTCAGCTACATAGTTGCATAGCATAGTTGTCAACAGAAATCAAATGCACACACGCTGGCAGAAGTAAAATAATGAGGGTTGCTTCTTTTACTTGGTCCTCCATGAGTGCGACCAAAGGAGAAACCACAACGACCACATCCAATCTTCTTAGTGACCATCGGAGCCAGCTGATAAAATAAACTTTTGCCGAATCCCATTGGAAGGACCAATACATCTTTCCGATCGACAAATGCCTGGATTGCAGTTCTCAGTTCGTCTTTTAAAATGAATACACTGTTGATTTCTTTTACAACAGACGCAATAGTGGAATCTATACATCTCAGTTCTCAGTCGTCTTTGACGGAAACCAGATCAACCCAAGCGCTCTTTCGTGACGTGATGATTACGTAACTGCAGTTCATCTGTCCATCATCGTATAAAGCCCGCCCTGGCAATTTGATTGGCCTGACCTTTTCTGAACTGATCATAATGACTCCTCAATGGATCAAGTCCAGACCGAACTTCCTGACCAAAAAATGTTGTGGGCGGGGTTCGGTCTGGCATCCAGGCTAGTAAAGCTACAATATACAATTTTTTTTTTTTTTTTTTTTTTTCACAAATGGTTTTTCTTTTGTTAATAATTATTAAAAATAGTATGAATTTAATGAGCATAACAAAGGTTGTTTAATGTATAGGTTACTGAATATTCTATTTTTTGATAGAAACTCAATCAATCAATGAAATTTCTTTATTTAGTCATGATGTTATTATAGACACAACAATAATCTCCACAACAACAAAATAATAACATTCATTACTGAATAGGAGCATAAAGAAGACATAGTCTTATAAATTAATGCCCCTTTTTTCAATAATCTAAACTTATACAGAACAGATGGCTCGCCAATTTTTCTTTTTTCCTTCCTTTTTATATATATATATATATTACTTCAGTATTACTTCACATCTCAGCAATTAACAATTACCAATTTAGAAAAAACAAGAGAGAAAAAAACAAACAAACAAACAAAAAAATATATATAATAAAAAAAATAAAAATAAATAAATAAATAAAAATAAAACATTGTTTTTTATGCTTCACTTCCTTCGTATTTTTCAAGTACAGATTTTTTGTACATTTTATTGAATTGAACAATCGTGTTACATGATTTTTGACCTCTATCCAAAGAGTTCCATAAACTAATCCCCGTTACAAGAAACCCCTTTTGTTTTTTTGAGGTACGTGAATATGGTACACTAAAATTGCCTTTTCTTCTGTTGTTATTGTCTGTGATTAACATGAATTTATTTTTAATATGTGTTGGTACTAAATTGTTTTTCACTCTCCACATAATTTGTAGTATTTTTAAACTGACCAACTCTTTAAATTTCAAAGTCTGCAGTTTTATAAACACTTTATTTGTGTGGTCTCGTGAACCTTTGTTAGTCACAATTCGTATGGCTTTCTTCTGGAGTACAAACAACTTATCTGTATAACTGTTGCATGCATTACCCCACACTTCAGTACAATATGTTAAGTATGGAACAACTAAGGTTAAGTATAGAAGCTGTAATGAAGCTTCATCTAGTATATGTTTAATGTTATATAGAATACCAATATTCTTACTAATTTTACCTTTGATATATTCTATATGAGGCTTCCAGCTGAGTTTACTGTCTAGGACAACCCCCAAAAATTTAATTTCTGGAACACATTCGATTCGAAACTAAGCCACAACTGTTCTTTAGGGAGAGCATTATTAAAAGCTGTTATTTAGCTGTTGCACATTTTGCACTCGGACTTCATACCGCACAACGTCTACCCTTAACCCAAAAATGGAACATTTGATAAAATTGTGACACACAGGATTTAGACATACTTCACCCAGTAATGAAAAATCTGTCATTAATTACTCGCCCTCATGTCGTTCCAAGCCCGTAAGACTTTCATTCATCTTCAGAACACAAGTGAAGATCTTTAATGAAATCTGAGAGCTTTCTGTCTCTCCATTGACAGCTACGCAACTACCACTGTGACGCTTTAAAACATTCATAAAGAGATTGTAAAACTAATATAGGGTGGTTTAGTCCAAATTTTCTTAACAGAATCGATCGCTTTATATGATAAAAATATTGAATTTAAGCTTTTATTTACATATAAACATTGATCAGCAAACATGGACAGAAGCTCAACTGAACCTGCTTGACACGTGAGAACAAAGCTCTTCCTGAAACTCAAACGTGATGCGAAACACGAGAATTGGTTCTCACACGTCAAGCAAACATGCTTGAGCTTCAGTTTGCCACAACTGATGTGTGAGTTGATGAATATGTGAATACAAAAACCCCTGAATTCAATCTGTTCATCATATAAAGCGATTGATTCTGTGCAGAAAATATGGAGAAACCGCTCAATTCACATAGATTAGTTTTACGATCTCTTTATGAACTTTTTGAAGCGTCACAGTGGTAGTTGCGTAGCTGTCAATGGAGGGACAGAAAGCTCGCAGATTTCATCAAAAAGATCTTCATTTGTGTTCCGAAGATGAACGAAAGTCTTACGGGTTTGGAATGTCATGAGGGCGAGAAAATTATGAAAGATTTTTCATTTTTTTTGGTGAACTATCACTTTTTACTCCTGGAAGACAAATATATTCTCCTTTTATTTATCATTCTATTTTTAACAGATTTTAGGGTTGACTTATATTCATCAAGCCCTACCATTCCACAAATCTAAACTTTATACCCCATATTGATAACTTTGATTAAAATTTGATAAATCTCATTGCGCAAGTATTCAGACCCTTTGCTACAACACTTGAACTGTTGCTCAGGTGCATCCCATTTCTCTGGATCGCCTTCGATTAAATACACTGAACACATTGAATATGGTGACACCTCAAATGTAATGATGTTACGACTTTTTGCATGATGTCTGTTTGTCTCGTGTTTTTCTGTTTCCAGTCGAGAGACGCACAAGATTGCTGTGTTCTACATTGGAGAAGGCCAAGAGGACAAATGCTCCATTCTGTCCAACACCGAAGGCAGTCAGGCGTACGAGGACTTTGTCTCTGGGCTGGGATGGGAGGTGAAATAATACATAAAATCCACTTAATGCGTCTGTAGTGAGCAGTGATCATGTCCTGTGACTACATCAGAAAGCTTCTCTCTCTTTCAGGTGAATCTGGCCACTCACTGTGGGTTTATGGGGGGTTTGCAGAGGAATGGCAGCACCGGAAACACAGCGCCATACTACGCTACTTCCAACGTGGAGGTCATCTTCCACGTGTCGACCCGCATGCCTTCCGACTCAGATGACTCCATCACCAAAAAGGTAGTTCCTCATTTCCTGCTTGACAAGACCCATACACTTGTAAAATGAATATAGATGTGATAAACTGGTAGAAAGGTGTCATTTATCAGTATCATAAATTGTATCACTGCTTGGTCAGGAGTTCAGGCATTCCAGCCACATTCTGAGAGGAAATGAGAAAGAAAAAAGTGCATGATCTTTGGTTTCGAAACGACCTTCCGTTAAACTGCGCCTCCTTAGTTACTGTTGCTATCACTATCAAGCTTTTCTATTGCCGTTTGTTCTACCGCTGTCAAGCAGTGAGAGAGAAGCAATCAAATCGAGTGCAAAACTTGAGTGCATTTGTAATCTAGTAATCATATCTAGTCACCAAAATAGTCTCAAGTAAGTCATGGAAGTCTACAAAGTGGACAAAGAAATGTACTGTACGGTGAAGATTTAGAATGAAAACATCCGCCATAGTCAATTGAAAATGCATGGCAGGTCAAATATCAATCCGACAGGGTCCTTACACAGTGTTCACTGCTCACTACTCCCTGAACACGGTACATCAGTTGAAGTGGACTTCACCGACAATAATCACTCATTTGGAAAGCCCTGCAACGTCATCAAAGAAAGGTAACAACAGGGTCGTGCAGATTATGATATAACTGAATTAAATTGTGTAATTTACTTTCATTCTACTTTAAAATCACATAATAAGCCTATAGATACATTCATCACCCAAAACTGGTCATAAATAATTTATGAATAGTATTGATGAATACTCAATGCACTCAGAGCCATTGTTGGTTCCGACTGGTGACACGTGCACAATGACAGTAGGTTGATTTTCACTCTCCACTTCCGGTAAAGTGATGTATCAATGTTCCCTTATCCACAAGTTTCCGAGGGGCGCTCCTGTAAAAAATAAAGTGGGTGAAACTTCCGGTGACGCGGCGGAAGTAGCATTCCAATGGTGTTTTGTGTGTTAGTTAGCGAAGAGGCTAGCTGTTTTTCGGAGAATTATTTTACTATTTAAAGACGCCAATCTTTATGAGAGATGTCGTTACGGAGCTCAGGGACAACATGTGCTGTTCGCGGTTGTATGTATAACCGGACTAAACTAATTCAGTGGCTTAAAAGGGATTGTTTTGAACATAAGCTGAAAACGAAATCAGAGTGATCCTGCCAGAGCCCGTCTCTGATCCTGCCAACGACTGTAGTTTCCATCACCTCCCAAAAGATGACGAATCTTCCTGTGTACATTTGTTTAAATTCTTAATATTCTATAAACTCTATCAGCATGTGTTTGGCTGTTCGCTACTGATGTTACACCTAAACTCAGGATCAAAGCCTGTGTTGACAGAATACCAAATGTGCCAGTTAATGTATTCAAGTCGCACATTCATTTATAATTTTGAATAAACTCTAAAGCACAATGACTAAGTGTGTATTTTTTATTTTAATTGTTTGTCAGCTCGCACAACTGTCTGTCTCCATGCCTTGATGAGTATTGATTATTAATAATGTTATTATAATACTCCCAATCAACTACTGCGGAGGGTAAAGGTACAGTTATTTCACCCTTTTGAATTTCGTTGAGGTTGTGTTCCCACATCGTTAGCTAGTTTGGATCGCTATAACTTGAATGACTGTCAACTGTTGAATGAACGAGTGTCAAGCATGTCAAGTCGCGCTTTGTTTACTTCAAACCGGAAGTCGCGCCCACTTTTGACGCAAGGCCTCATGGGGCGTAGGAAACTTGTGGATTCCCTACACCTTTTTCAGCACCCTTCGAACTGAACATGTTCGTTCCCTTCGGACTGGAATCTCACTTAAGATGGGGAAATACCCTGTGAAGTCCACTTCTTAGTCCACTAACGGTCGAATGGAACGCACTTTATGTATGTGTGTGTGCTTTGGATGTTGTTTTAAATTAAAAGCAACACAAAACAAAGATGAAATATGCCAACTCTTTAAAACACACAATAGATATATATGTATTTTATTATTGTAATTGTAAGTATTGTATGTATTATTGTACTGTAAGTATCGATTGATTGATTGGTTAGTCACTTGTGTTTTCATCCTTTTTCCCTATTTCTCTTCTCACCTCTGTCTTGAAATGCAAATATCCTACATATATATATATATATATATATATATATATATATATATATAGTGACAAATGTTTGCTTACCCCTAAAAAACATGTATTGCCATTTCATTCTGTTTGAAATGTTGATTTAATGACGGGTGCGATGCATGTAAAGCGTGGCTTCTGGAGCGTGCCGCTGACCACCGCTCTCTGTCAGACCTCTGCGAGCTGCGAGAGCCCGTCGTGAGCGAGGGAGCCGAGCATGTGCAGGTTTAGTAGCCCTGGACTCTTGTGCGCGCTGTGACCGGGGCCCCGATCAGCACATTAACTCGCGCCGCAAGGGCCAAAGGCCTGCCGGATACCAGCAGGGCCCTGCTATCGAATTCCCCCTGTGTCTGCGGGACGGCGATCGACATGCGTTAGCAGGTTAACTCAGGCAAAATGAGCCGGTGGGATCCTGCTTAGTTCTGAGCGCTCAATCCGATCATGCGCAGGCCTGCAGAGAGAAAAATTCATCAGGCTCCCGGACATCGAAGCCTCACACCGTCAGAGCTCATATTAGCCCATCTCAGCCACACTCCGTTCCTCTGTTAAGCCAGTGGGAGGGAGCGTGTGTGCCGCGAGCCATGCTCGATTCATTTTGGACACCAGGCCCCGTAATTGCTGCGCTCCCGCTCTGGCACGTGTGTGAGGAGGGGTGAAAGGGCTGTTTTATCAGCCACAGGCAGACAGGAAGTAACTCCTCTGATTTGCAAATCCAACTTTCAGAGGTAGTGAGAGAAAGGAGGGGTGAAAGGACGACAGAGAGGAGAAAAGAGAAGTGCTGGGGGCAGATCGAGCAGAGCAGCTGGCCAGGCTAGTAATGCAGTTACTGGGAGGGTGTTTCCATGCGAGGCCTGGTGTCAGGAGGCACCTCACACACACACACACACACACACTCTTCTTTGTTTCAGAGGGAGGGACGCTGCTTCTTTACAAGGCAGCGTTTAAGCTTTAGGGCATCTCTTGCTCTGCTCAGCGTCGGTGTGTTTACATTCTACATGTACACTGTAAAAATGTTTTTTTTATTATTATTATTGGAGTACGTTTTACAAGTAAATACTATTTCAGTCTTTCTACTTCAAAATTTAATGTTCAATTCAATGTTTCTTGCTGATTCTACACACATTTTTGAGACTCGCTAGTAATTTCTGAGTGAATTGTTATCAGTGTAAATGTTATACTCTATGCAACATATGGCTGTTAATATCTGCATATTTTCATGTTTGCTATGTAAATGCCACTATTACTGTTGCTCATACTTAAATTCCTCCTGTAGTCAATAATTTATCCCTTAAAACTAATCTGATCACCAAAATTACAAATTTAAATGTTTTTTTTTTTTTTTTTTTTCACTTAAAAAAAATCTTCTTGCCTTTAAAGGACAACTCCGGCGCAAAATGAAGCTTTGGTCTAATTACACATTGTTACCTAGTCAACCGTTATGTGAGATTTGTTTTCATGATTGCCGAATGTAAATAGTTTTATCTATAAAAACAGTTTAGCCTATAACGCTAGTATAATGCTAGTATATGGGGCATAGAGTAATGACAAATAAAAATCGCTTGTTATTACCACTAACAAGGCTCAAAATAGTCCCACACCAACACGACAGCATAATAAGGGTCCCTACATTCAAACCGAAGCATTGAGAACGTTGTTAGCGTCCATACAGTTTAATAAGAAGATATTTTATACATACAGTCAACTTCGCGAATACAGGAAGAAGCCATCTTTGAAAAAAAGTCTCTACCAGTCGATCTACGAACGCCGATCCATGTGCGCTGAACTGAGCAGATATGGTCCGTTGTTTCCAGAAGAAACACAAACACAAACCGTTTTCTTCTCTTCAATATGTACACGTAGCCTACTGTTCGCACTCACCTTATCACCTTATTCACATCTCACCAGCGCACTTGGATCGGCGTTCGTAGATCGACCCGTAGAAACTATTTTTCCAAGATGGCTTCTTCCTGTATTCGCGAAATTTACTGTGTGTATAAAATATCTTCTTATTAAACTGTATGGACACTGACAAAGCTCTCAATGCTTCGGTTTGAATGTAGGGACCCTTGTTATGCTGTCGTGTTAGTATGGGGCTATTTTGAGCCTTGTTAGTGGTAATAACAAGCGATTTTTATTTGTCATTACTCTATGCCCCATATACTAGCATTATACTAGCGTTATAGGCTAAACTGTTGTTAGAGATAAAACTATTTACATTCGGCAATCATGAAAACAAATCTCAGATAACGGTTGACTAGGTAACAATGTGTAATTAGACTAAAGGTTCATTTTGCGCCGGAGTTGTCCTTTAAATATCTTGAATGTAACTCTACACCCTTGCATCATTTAGTTTATGTGGTTCTATGAAAATGTAAATGAGCCCCGCTTCCACTCACTCACACAGCTCAGAGGTACAAGGTAGTTTGTGATGTCAGAAACACCAGCGATTACGTGTTTTCACTGCAGTTTTAAGGAGAAAATACTCAGTGATGCATGTCGACTTATGAATTTACACATGGTTTGTCTTAAAGCACATTAAAAACACAAAATACACATATAAACAACATTAAAAGCTTGATTTTCAATTTTGCTGTTTGCTATTTTTGCTATTTTGATTTGGCAGTAAACTGTATCTGGCATTTTAACAAACTCTTGAGGCTTCTTTCTGGGCCTAAACTAAGAACATTATTTAATACAATTAATATATAGACTTTACTAGTATCGGCACAATAATATGTTTTACCTTTTTTTCGGACACATTATCGTATCAGCAAAATCCCAAATTATTCGACCTATAATTCATATGTATTTAAATATTGGTACACAAAACCAATTTCAATATATTTTAAATAAAACTTGTCTTGGTTACCCTTTTTTAAAATGTTTACCCTGATTTGAATATATGCCCCAGCCTGTTTAATTTAGAAAAATAATGTTACTGTAGATACACAATGTATTCTGTATTCATTTTATTTGTAAAACATCTTTGAATTTTAAAAATATGCAGAGACCCTGATTAAACTTTGGTCCTAAAGTAGTCCTGTCCAACACGGACATGATAGCGCAAGTCATGTGGTTTAATAAAAACTGTGCTATCACTGTGATTTCCATCTGGTGAGCGATAAAATTGGGTGAAAAAAATCCCAAAGCCTTTGATTGGTGGAATGACCCGAGTTCAGCCCATCAAAGGCTCTCAGGGAGTCTTTTGGCTTGGGCTGGGAAGAAACCACCAACCGTCCAGATACCCTAGCAACCGCATAGAACAGTGCATAGCAACAGCATGGCAACCACCCTCAGCTCCTTCAGCAGCACCTTCTACTTCACCCTATTCTAAAGTTTGAGCTTCTTAGAAGTCTGCAGTCTTTAACATCTGATCCCTTTCATTGAGAATGGCATCTGGTGTATGTGTGCAATGTGTGTTGCATTTCCTCTCTTCCCCCAACCTGTTTACATGCCGCCAATTCTTCTGCTGACTCTCCAAATGGATCGGTATGTGCCGACCCAATCATCTTGTTGTGGATTTGTTTAATTTTAGTCCATTAGCATAATTAAGGGCTTATGGGGAAATGTGGTAATTGCATTTTTGGTGAAGAGGACATGTTTTGGTAATGGCTCATTAGGCTTGGGTGCATCGGCAGATGTTTAACGACTCATTGACAAGAGCTAGCTTAAGCACACACTGTTGCAGCGAAATACTTCCAAGACTCCCTTTTCTTGATTACAGAGGTCACTTTAATTTCTCACTAGTTTGCTAATTGTCCACTTATTTTTTGTTAATTATTTGGAATAAAGGCTTTATGGTCTGGCTGCCCTGATTTTGTTTTGTTTAGTGACAGTGAATGCTGGGAACAGTGAGTGATGCTGTGAATGAAAAATCAGTTTTAATTCTTAATTTGGTTGATAACAATACTGCCAGTGTTGGGAAACGTTACTTTATACATGAACTAGTTCAAAGTTCAGGTCACATATTTTAAAATGAAAAAAGTTCATACTTCACAATTTTGAACTTCACGGTTCCAAAAAAATGAACTAGTTCATAGTTCTTTTTTTCCATATGTTGCTGCTAGCTATTTATTTATTTTTTTTAATTCTTGCCACGGCCCATATACAGTACAACCACAAAGACCTTGCTTAAGACTGATCATACGATCATGCAACGCCTCCTCGGTGCTTAAGGCCAATTTATACTTCTGCATCGAGAGTACGCCGTAGTGTACGGCGTTGGCTACGCACGTAGGCGACGCCGTCGTGAGCATTTATACTTAAGCGTTCAGGTCTTGGTTGCTCTGCAGTACTGCTCCGAAACACTAGTTGGCGGCGGAGGGTTTTAATGTTCCACTGTGTTTAGATTCCTCCTAGGTTACTACAAGCAATAGCGACTGAAAGAGAGCTGATCATGTTGGAGTTGGAGCTTATTGAGGTGGAAAAACAGTTAATTTTAGTGAAATTACAAAAACTGAAAGGCAGAAATGAGAGAAGACGTCGGAGGAGATGGTACGTGTGGAAATGTGTGAGGTACGTGCAAAAATGCGTAGGAGGAAATGTGATGCTACCAAGCCGACCAATCACCGTTCTTGCGGTCCGCGTCGTCGCGACGTGTAGTTACATTTTTGAAGAGGTGCGCGTCAGGCGACGGCGAAGGGTACGCAAGATCGGTGATTGGTCGGCTTGGTAGCATCGCATTTCCTCCTACGCATTTCCGCACGTACCTTCTCACGCATTTCTACCACTGTCTATGATTTCCACACGTACCATCTCCGACGTCTTCTCTCGTTTCTGCCTTTCAGTTTTAGTAATTTCACTAAAGTGAACTGTTTTTCCACCTCATCAAGCTCCAACTCCAACATGATCAGCTCGCTTTCAGTCGCTATGGCTTGTAGTAACCTAGCCGCGAGGAATCTAAACACAGTGGAACATTAAAACCCTCCGCCGCCAACTAGCGTTTCAGAGCAGTACTGCAGAGCAACAAAGACCTGAACGCAGAAGTATAAATGCTCACAACGGCGTCGCCTACGTGCGTAGCCAACGCCGTGCACTACGGCGTACCCTCGACGCAGAAGTATAAATTGGCCTTTAGTCGACCTCATGCTGCTTTTTGTTTTGTTTTGGCCTCAGTGCGACACTGGTGGCTTGTGTTGCCAGATTGGGTGTTTATTCGCTACATATTAAGTGTTTACGTGTGTTTTAGCCGGGTTTTCGCATCGCAGGCTCTATAGAAATCTGGCACCCTATTGAACGAAGTTAAACTGAGAGAGCGTGCATTCACAGGCACCAGAATGAACGCGTTCACAGTACCGTTCATCAGGCTGTAATACAGTACCTTCAGCTCATGTTCGCCCAAAATATGAACAAGTTCATGAAATATCGTTCAATGAACGCGTTCAGGCACAACACTGAATACTGCAGTATCTATATCACACATTAAAAACTACTGGTAACACTTTACAGGTTTGCTAGTTAACTACATTAGTTAGCATGAACTAATAATGAACTGCGCATATACAGCATTTATTAAAGGGATACTCCACCTCTGGAAAGATGAATGTGTATTTAAAATGAGTAATTGATGTAGAAATTATTTTTTTTTTAATTTGGAGCTTTCTAGACTGAGAAAAGAAAGAACAAAAAATGTATTTTTGGCTTATGTGGATGAAAGACAACAACTCCCAGAATGCACTTGCTTCGCTGCCCTAGGAGGCCACGCCTACCGGTAACAGAGCAACAACAAGTCTAGGCTACTAGTGAGTCTCCTTGACGAGTCTGCCCGAAAGTGTGTTTCAAGATCGCCCACAATGTCCGGGATTCGGCTATTACGTTCTACAGTCGCCATTCATTATTTTTACTGTGGCGAGCGGGACGAGTGACGGCCGCGGGAGAACGGCGCGAGGCCGTTGGCGTGATTACTGATGAGCGACACCTGTGAGACGCACCGGTCTCGTATCTCTCACGGAGGAGCGGGAAATTTTTCTTAGCAATGTTAAAACGCACATCAACCGATTATTTGTTTAGCGTTCATGTCCCTTTAATCTTTGTTAATGTTAATTTCAACATTTACTAATATTTTTTTTTTTTAAATCTTGTTAACATTAGTTAATGCACATGGAACTAACATGAACAGACAATGAACGGCTGTATTTTTATTAACTAACATTAACAAAGATTAATAAATACAGTAACAAATGTATTGCTCATGGTTAGTTCATGCTAGTTTATACATTAGCTAATGTTAACCAATGAACCTCATAAAGTGTTTCCAAACTACTTGTTTTATCCATTTCATGCTTTGTGTGAACGTGTATTCTACTTTTCCATAAGCGCCACCTACTGTCAGAGAGTGAATTTGCATCTTTATTCAGCCATCTTGTGTGTATATATAACAGCATATGGAGGAATATCATTGTAGACTACTAGTGTAGATAAACACGTGCATCGAATAAAACAGAAAAAAAAACACAAGCACGGAATTTGTAAATAAAATAATTGTTTGCATACTATTTTATAACATATAATTTTATGTATGATTGCGTGCGGTCGGGGTTTCCAGTGTGGACAGCTCCATAAAATAGCCTACTGGAAGCGCTGTAGTTTTGCTGTACTAAAAATATGAAAAGAACAATACTCAAATAACATTTTAAGATACTGCTGTTTCTGAACAAATAAACCAGTAATTGATGTCATAGATACACACGCCTGATGTTTGTTTTAATTGTCAGAATCTATCGTACTAAAATAAATCGTAATAAAAATGGCTTTCCTAATCATTTAGAATTTAATGAACAAATAATTAAGTAATTGTAAATTTACAGTTTATTAATGTAATGTAATTTTATTTCAAATGATTAAGGAAAATATAGAGATTTGAAGATCTCTAAAATAATTTTAGAATTGTTAGCGACCGCAACTGAAGGCACGCCGCACTCCTGAGGTGACGACTCTGTAGACCATTAAAAAAATGAATAATTAGAAAAACAATATGTTTAGGTTACAACTTCATCTGTCTCTGAAAAAAAAAAATCATCAGTGAATCTACCAAAAAAATGAATTGATTTAGATTTGCCAGTATGTTACCAGCTCTCTAGACATCTGTTTCAGCATTGACCCTTACCGGTTGAGTTCTAGAAACAATTTATACCTTTATTTTATTATTTTGAACTTCTCCTTCCTGAACTTTACAGGTTTGCCAGCTGATAGTACCACATCTGAACCCAATTCACAGATTTCCACATGTACAACATTAAACAAATTATTACAATATTTTCCTGGTGCTTCAACATTAGAACTACATATTATTCAGACTCTCAGCACCCATGTATTTCATGTTCCTTGGCAAAAATGAGCTTCTGAAAAATGCATTTCCTACAAATGTATGTATATTTTTATGTAAAATGAAAATCTGTCCAATTTTCTGGCAAAAGCCAATTTGTTTAAATGATTGAGACATAATGAACCCAATTTCTCCATCTCATTTGTCTTCAGATTGAAAATTCCCCAAATAATTACAGGAGATGTTATGTACTAAAATACATGTAGCCTTTTCTCTCTGGAATTATTGTTGATCACTAAGAAAACACACATGTTTGTGAGGTTGAGTTAACCTTTTTCTAAGAATCTGTTGTTCTGTCTCCACATGTTTGCCCTGTACAAACGATTCTCTGTTTGTTTGTTTGTTTGTATTCCCTCCGACATGAAGTTTTATGTCTAATGTTTACGATTTTTTTTGTGTCAGATTTATTGATGCATTTTGCCTCTGTTTGGTCATAGCTCCGTCACTTGGGAAATGATGAAGTGCACATCGTGTGGTCGGAGCACACGCGGGATTACAGACGAGGAATCATTCCCACCGACTTTGGAGATGTCCTCATCATCATCTACCCGATGAAAAACCACATGTTCTTTGTTCAGATCCTGAAAAAAACCCAGGTGCGTCCCCACATTGTGAAGATAATGGCATTACGTTACATTAAAAACCACAACCGTCCACCAGAACTTACAGATTTTCATATATTATGTGAAATGCCTCTCCAGAGGCGTCTTAAGATCTCCGCCAGGATGTGCGATGTTTGGTTGATTGTCAGGATATGTGGATTGTGGCTGAATGGTATCTCTTCCTGTCTGTTCCCTGAAAGCACTAATGCTCAGAGTCCATTACTGCACTGTCGGCACGCCACTCTCATCGCGGTCAAGCTGCCTTTCATCTTCCTCCTCCCGCGTCTGCCACTAGATCCCCAGAGAAACCAAGCGTGCATCATTTGTAATTTCTCGTAAACACGTCACCTCTGCGAGCCTCGACTGCTGTGTGTTGTTGAGTGGCCTGGATGCTGTCAGATATATATGCTTTCCGCACCATGTCACCGGCTGCAATTAGTGAAATTCCCTCAGCTGTGTCACTGTTATCTGCCGTTCCACTCAACTAACTCTCGTGTCATCCGCTCGATAAATGGATGCCTTGGCGAATGGAAGCGCTGCGTTATCCGTCGACTAGATTCAGCCGTCCTGCTCATAGATTTGTTCCTGTTTGTGGCGTACACATCACATGCGACATCAGGCTGAGACTTCATGCGTAGCGATTTAATGTTTAAAGGGGTGGTTGATTATGGTTTCACTTTTCTAACTTTAGTTAGTGTGTAATGTTGCTGAGCATAAACAACATCTGCGACGTTACGACGCTCAAACGTTCAAAGAAATCACTTTTGTAAGCACCACAACAAACGGCTGGCATAGGAACTCTAGTGACCTTCATCACTAACCCTACAATTTGCATAAACCCCGCCCCCTGAATGTGATTTATAGATTATCAGACAGAATATGCTAATCAGTGACTAGAAGATAACACGTAAGCTACATAAATTCATCAACTAACCAGAGGCACCTTTATTACTTGAGTAAAAGTACAGATACCCCTTGCTAAATTTTACTCAAGTACAAGTGAATGTACTACAGTCAGATGTCTACTTAAGTAAAAGTACTGGAGTACTTGTTTTTAAAAGTACTCCAGTACTCAATATTTACTTTAAAAGTAAATATTGAGAATATTGAGACCGAGATGGACCTGCTACGTCTCCATCCACTGTTTCGTCCATGATTTGGTCTCTTATCTAAATCTGACCAGTTGGCTTTGGCGGAAAGCTTATAAGGTGATTGCTGATAGGCTGTCCCAATCAGTGCCGCCTGCACTATCCAATCACATTTGAGAGGGACAAAACAAACAACAAATTGAGGGTTTCTGCGATTTTTCTTTTTTCCGTTTTTTATTTTATTTTTTTTTTTTTTAGTAGTAGTAGTAACTCGTACTCACGGTAATGGATAGAATTGTAGTGGAGTAAAGAGTACAATATTTCCCTCTCAAATGTACTTGAGTACTCCCCAAAAATGATACTCGAGTAAAGTACAGATCCCTCAAAATTGTACTCAAGTAAATGTACTCCATTACTGTCCGGCTCTGCAACTAACCATTCAGAAACGTCGTGACTTCCTCTTGAGTCTCGCCATCATTGTCCGATTTCGGTTTGAACGTAAAAGGCTGAACGGTTTCTGACATTTTAATGCGTGTCTGCACTAAATGCGTAACTCCGCTACACATCACATGCAACATTGGGCTGAGACTTCATGTACAGTGATTTACTGTTTAAAACCCTCTCTTGGCCAGGTTCCTTTCTTCGGGCCTCTGTTCGACGGGGCGATAGTGACTGGAACGCTGTTGCCCAGTCTGGTTCGGGCCACGTGCATCAACGCAAGCAGGGCCGTGAAGTCTCGACTGCCGCTCTACCAGAGTTTGTATCCTTTAACTGTTATGGTGTGTGATGCCTGCATTCGAGTGTCTGTAAGTGGCTTTGGTGCTAACTGTACCTGTGAGACTGAGTGTGTCTCATACACTGTTCCCTGATCATTATACGTATGGTGAACATGACTTCCAGTAAATAGAGTGGGAATCATTATCACTATTGCTGTGTTATACGGCATGAGCGCATTTGTATTTATTTTTTTTGGCATCATTTGTTGTTCTTTGTTGTAGCTGTTAAACGTACGGCTCGTCCTCATTTTCTGGCGAAGACAATGAACAGCTGTATTTTTAACAATGCACCATTTTCCGGTAAGTCAAAATATTCCGTATGCTTGAATGCTGATGGGTGTATTCTGGGAATTTTTCAGAGAGCAAATGTTGTTCTGCACTAGAACGATTTTGACAATGAGAAATTCCTAAGTAGTGCATATTTTCTATGGAACTAATGAGCGGACAATGATATTATTACAAATCAATGGCCAACTTGAAATGTGGCTTTAATCATAAATAATTCCGTTTTCAGGAATCAGCTGTTATGCTTATACTATTACTAAATGTTTATTTGTTTGTCTCATAACCTTTTCATCTGCTTCTCTCGAAATAACAGCATAAGATGCCATTACTAGTTTGAAAGTGTTTGGCAAGAAGGGAAGTAATGTAATGCGTCAAGTTATGTAGCTGTAAATAATAAATCAACACTCTTGGAAAGTGTGCCAACCAGTGTTGCGTGCCGTGGTAAATGAGAAAATATGAATTAATTTGCCAGTTATCACAAAATGAACCTGACCTAAAACAGTGGTCATTACTTTTTTTTGCTTTTTGACTGCAAATTATCCCATTTATTTCCAGACTTCTTATCAAATAAATAAAATGTGGTCACAAAATATTGATTCGAGGGGATATCATTTTGATATGTGAGAAGAAAGAGCGCTAGACTACCATTGAAAAGTTTGGGGTTGGTAAGATTTGTTTAATGTTTCTGAATCAAGGCGCTTGTGCTCGTCAAGGCTGCGTTGACTTTAACAAAAATGCTGTAAATTCAGTCAAATAGAAATAAGATGGTAGTGCATGTATTTAACAAATGTTTTGACCAATGAGGTATTCCCATCCTTGTGTAATAAGCTTGTATTACACTTGTAGCGCTTAGGAGAATACTGTAGATCATACTGTAAGTAGAAATTGCTGCATCATGCCAGGTTTTTTTAATTCTGCTCTTTGCTTTCTGGAATGATATTGCGTCAGTATGATCATTATTGTGTGTTGGTGTGTGCGCGTGTGTGTGACTGTTAATTGTCTCTTGTGAATAGGGTGTGAAAGGCCATTAAGCATATTCTGCTTTCACAGCTTCCTGCAATGACTTGATCTGTCTCTATGAATAATTGATCTGCTTTTGGGTGCTGCTTCTACACCACTGTCTCTTATCTGTCCGTCACAAGAACATCTGCTCAACATTCACACGTAAGTGCATCCTCTCTGTGTGTTTCGCTCACTCACTCGTTCTCTGTTTGTCTTTCCATTGCTCATCTCATCTCGTTGTCCAAGGTCACAACACAAGCCCATTTCCAGTTCTGATCAAATGACTTTTGTTGTTGTTGTAGTTGATTTAAGGTTGTGACTTTTGAAATGTGTCTCATGTCGGACTTTGGCTTGAACAGACGGCGCTCCTGCACTGACCCGCATACATAAAACAACAGTAATTAATTATGAGGGTAAAAAGGCAGGTGCAAAATCCTCTGGTTGCCTTTAAAAGAAAATTCACATTACTTACTTTTAGGGTTGGGTATCGTTTGAATTTGAACGATTCTGATTCCGATTCCGATTCCTCGTTTCGATTCCAATTCCTAACGATTCTCGATTCCGATTCTTTTAAGACGCAGGGTCAAAAAAGTTTAGCTAACCTTGCTAACCAACAGCCTTTCTGAAGGAAATACTCCTTCTATAAAAATACTCCTTTTGTCACAAATTTTGCATTTTGCCGAGATTTCGTTATTTTTAGAAAAGTGAAGCCACACTTTGGATCGCCGACGTAAGGTACTCATGTTCGACTCACGTGGTTATGCCAACACTTCCGGTAGACGCTTCTTCGTTGGTGTTGTTCAGCGGTTTCTTCTTCCGGTCGGCGGACTGTGAATATCGAAAAATTAGGAATCGAAATTTTAACTTTTGAACGATTCCGGGAAAAACGAAAAGTTAGTCTCGGTTCCAATCGATACTCGATTCTCGATACCCAACCCTACTTACTTTCTGTATGAATCGATCTTAACGTTATAGATTTTTTTTTTTTTGTGCTTTTGTCATTTTTATTAAAAAATTTTTTCAATTTATTCAATTATTTTTAGCTTCAGTTTTAGTTTTCTTTCAGTGCGTAATTTTAGTACTTCAACTTTTCTTTCAAGTATAGAGTGCCGAAGTGATGACGTCACTTTGTAGGACAACTCGGAAGCTAGCGGCGCATGGGTTCCCTCGATCAAAAAGCTATGCATTTTCCCCACAGACTTTTGGAAAATCGCAAAAAATAAGATCTGTGTTCAACAAAGAGTTGTGACCCTTACACGTTTTGTCTATCAAGATAATCTTTTCAAGTTAATCCAAAATGTATACATTTTGAAGCCTATATAAAGTTTTTAAAAAACACAAGCAGACACAATAAAGCTTACAAAAAGCACAATCAGGTTAACTGTGTGTTCTATGTCATATATCAAAACGTGAAAATATTTCGAGGCTTTGTTCACCACAGACCTTATTTCAGGCGATTTAGCAAAAAAAACCATTCAAAAATCCTATAGACTTTAGAGCGTGGGAACCGGAAGTGCTAAAATGCTAACTCACTTCCACGTTTTGGCCTACAGAATGACGTCGTAACTTCGGCACTCTATTGGCAAGACAACATTTAAAAAAATATATATATATATTTCAGAAGTTTGTTTTTTTTAAACCATTTTAATTAACCATTTAGATAACGATAACACTGGGACAGACTTGTCTATGGTGGACATTATGGACACACTTCTCCAATCACTTTGTTTGCTTAAACCCACCCCTTGTTTTTACAATCGACTGCAAGTTCTCATTCAGATCTGCCTCCAACATCTCAAAATCCAATCAATAACTGATGGATAGAACCTTGCATTTTTTCTTGAACAGTACATTTTACTCAGATTACATTACAATGCGGGAAAAAAAGCTCTGTCGTGATTTCAGCCTGGTTTAATGGGACCTCAACATTGATGTTTTCAATGACACTGATTCACACTGAAGTCATATTATGTAAAATGTGATACATTTATGATTTATTTCCATGTATTAAACCGGTCCAGATCAGAATTGTTGGATTGAGTATTAATTTTATTGTTTATACTGTCATCCAGAAACAGATCTACATCACATATGGGGGGGATCTGATTTGATCTTGGTTCCCTCCTCTTCTCTCTCTCTCTCTCTCGTACAGTCCGTGGCTCTCGGTCAGAACAATGACCTTGCCTCACAGTCTGTTTTTGTGTGGAGATGAAATCTTCTCTGGAGTTTTCTGCTACACAATGGGTCGGGATCCCTGCAATTTTCCTACTTCTTGTGCTTGGTGCTCCAACGTAATTAGTTGAATATTTCTTGAAAGCGAGTCCTCGTACTCCCTGCACAGGCTGATAAAAGCAGGTGTCTCTCTCTGGCCTCCAGCAGGATACACCATCACACAGCTCTAATTGGGTGGGTTTTGGTGAAATGACCACCAGCCCTTGGCATGCAATCCACCCCTGTGCCCTGCGCTGTCCCACACACCCCTGCGCTCCATTGTCCGTGTTCGTATGCGCGTATGCAGGTGAGTGTGCGGAGCTAATCTATGGCTCTCTGTCCCGCCCGACTCTGGGATTATGCTTTTCCAAAGGGCTTAGCTTGAATGGAGAGTCCTCACTCCTGCTGACACCTTTCACGTCGCGCATAATGCGTCTTGATTATTGATTCATCAGCTGCTGCGAGTTTGAAGTGGGCCATGATGAAGCCTTGTGCAGGGAAACTTAGGATGTATTACAAGATCAATAAATCTTCAGCCGACACGAGAGCCTTTTGTTCCTTCATATTCTCTTTCTTTGTATCGCTGAGGAGTATAATGGGTCCTTTTAAAGGGATTGCTCATCCAAAAATTAAACTTCGATCATGATTTACTCACCCTGGTGTTGTTCTAATGCCTTATGACCTATCTTGGCCTACGGTCAGTGTGTCATACGCTGTCTTTTCACTTTCTTTCTGTCATTCTCTGCATGAAGCTGAGATGCTTTAATCTATATTGGCTTGTCCAGGCAGTCCAGTGGCCTTTAAGAGGTGAGGCAGAGATTCACTGACCTTCAGTCTCTTTGCTGCCTCCCCTGCTGAACAAGAATCGATGGCGTTAGCCTGCTTACTCCCTCTCTCCTCCTGGCTCAGATCCTTCTCTAGGCACCAATCAATAGCCATAATCTGTTCCTACCCACCGTCAGTCATGCGAGATTCAGCTTTTAGCACCCGTGATGGTCGAGGGAAAGTTGGGGATGTGGTCTCATATTATAAACCATAATACAAGTACCTGCAAATTCGGGTGAGGATGATGAATGTGATCATTTAGATGTCATTGTGGCCATCCCACGATATTACTTCTGTCTGTGTTCATGGTAGCTTCATATTGAAGCACAGTATCCTTACATTATGTTGAAGTCACTTGTCAGGGTTGAGTCAAATGTGATGAAATGGCTTACATGCTTTCTTGTGTTGAGGCAGAGTCTGACATTCGACTGCTGATCATTTTCAGATTATTCTTGCTAAGAACCAGCTTGTTAAACTAGAAGAGACTGTCCTAACTGTACGTTCACACCCGCCGCCGACTTTAGCGTCAAAGAAGCTCTGGCCGCCCTGTCGTGAATGCTTGTCAAAAAAGTAGGGGGAAGCTTGTGGACGCTTTGAATGCTTTGACGTTGAAGTGTCACAACGTGAAATGTACTAAACAGAAGAAAAAAAACAAGCAATA